AGAATAAGTATGGGGATAGTGGGTCTCCCTGGCGACATCCTCGATGCAGAGAGAATGTTTCTGATAAATTTCCTCCCTGAATTACTGCTGATGTAATGTTTGAATAAAATAAACTAACCCATTTCCTCATAGACTTTCCAAAATTAAAGAAATTAAGTGATTTTTGAATAAAAGCCCAAGAGACAGAATCAAATGCTTTTTCAAAGTCATCAAGAAGAAGAAGACCTGGTATTTTTTCTTCTTCTGTATATTGTATAATGTCATAGATTAGTCTAATGTTTTCAGCTAAATGCCTACCCTGTATAAAGCCTGTTTGATCAGGATGTATAATTTTATCTAAAAACCTTCTAATTCTATTCGCAATTGAACCAGATGCAATTTTATAAACTGTGTTTAAAAGAGAGATAGGTCTCCAATTTTTTAACAAGTGTTTAGGTTTGTCACCCTTTGGTAAGCAGGTAATGATTCCATGTCTCTGAGTTACACTTAAAATATCATGATCATATGCATAATTAATTGATCGAACAACAAAGACGCCTATAAATTTCCAAAAGACCTTAAAAAATTCTGAGGTAAAGCCATCTGAGCCAGGTGATTTATTTGATTTCATCCTAAAAAGTGTTTCTCCTGCCTCCTTCAGTGTAATTTGACCTTCTAATGACCTTGACTCTTCATTGGAAAGCTTTTTAATATTTGAAAAATTCATTTCCTCCTGAAGGTTAACATTTTCAACCACATCATCTACATTTCTATACAAATTTTCATAATATTGTTTGGTTGTTTTTAAGATATCTGATTGATTATAAACTGTCTCTCCATTTTCTAATTCAATTTTTGGAATAATTTTACTTAAGAAATTTCTTGATTCGAGATTACAGAAATATTTTGTCGGTTTCTCCCCTTCTTCTATCCATCTTGCCCTTGACCTTATATACACACCAGCCATTTTTTCTTTTCTAATATCTTCCAACTCTTATACAACATAAGAGAAACCTTTTTCCTTCAGCAGTAAAATCTAAAAGAAGAAAATTACCATCCACATCTCCTTTTTCCTTCAGTTGTATTAAGATTTGTTAACGACAAATAGTGTGCAATTCTGTAAAAGAAAAAAAACCTGTGTTGTGCTCTCATGATAAAAAAAATTCACCATAGATTGAGGAATTTTATCTGTTCATCACTAAGAAATCATTGATCTAAAAAATAACTAGAGGTACTATGAGCACTGAGCTCACTAAATGATACACCCGCCTCCCATATAATTATAATGACAAAGTCCCTGTTCTGCTCATGGAGACACGAAATAAGTGTCAGATAAAAAAAATATAATAGGAGGTGCACAATGGCATTATGTAAAAAAGAATCTGCGAAAGTATCATTAAATTTTATTCAGTGGTATAGGAGGAGTTGCAGATAAGAGATGTGTACCCTTAAATATTATTTTTAAAAAATGGCGATGCCAATGTTTTGCTCAGGAAAACCCAAAATATGTGTCTGATCAAAAAGTAAAGTAGAAGGTCACAGTGGCAATATATAACAAAGATTTCGCGAAAGTCTCATTAAATTTCATTCAGTGGTAAAAGAGGAGTTGCGAATAAGAGATATGTACCCAAAAGCGTAACAGACAGACGGACGGACGTACAGACAGACGGACATCCCGATTACTATATATTCTCCCCTTTTCAAGCGGGGGTAAAATAACAAGAAGAACTGTGATCAAGCAATGAGCTCACTTAATGATACCCCCGCCTCCCATATGAGTATAATGGCATTGTCCATAATATGTGTCGAATCAAAAAGTAAAATAGAAGGTGCACAATGGCAATATGTAACTAGAGGTACTGTGAGCGATGAGCTCACTAAATGATACCCCCCGCCTCCATATAGTTATAATGGCAAAGTTCATGTTTGCTGTGGCCGAAAATATGTGTCGGATCAAAAAGTAAAATAGGAGGTCACAATGGCAATATGTAATAAAGATTCTGTGAAAGTTTCATTAAATTTCATTCAGTGGTATGAGAGGAGTTGCGGATAAGAGATGGGTACCCCAAAGCGTAACAGACGGACGGACGAAATTAACGATTACTATATACCCTCCCGCTTTTCAAGCGGGGGGTATAATCAAGATTCTGTGAAAGTTTCATCAAATTTCATTCAGTTGTATGAGAGGAGTTGCGGATAAGAGATGACAGGCGGACGGATGGACGTGCGGACAGACGGACATACGGATTACTATTATATACCCGCCCGCTTTTCAAGCCGGGGGTATAACAACCAGTTTTATGTAATACTGTGTATCTTGACTTGATGCGAAACAATTAAATGTCAAACTTTATTTTTTAAAAATCCACTTTCATAATATACATGTACTAAAATCGTTTAAATACGTATATTTATACCCCCCGCTTGAAAAGCGGGAGGGTATATAGTAATCGTTAATTCCGTCCGTCCGTCCATCTGTCCGTCTGTTACGCTTTGGGGTACCCATCTCTTATCCGCAACTCCTCTTATACTACTGAGTGAAATTTAATGAAACTTTCACAGAATCTTTATTACATATTGCCATTGTGCACCTCCTATTTTACTTTTTGATCTAACACATATTTTGGGTGTCCCGGCCACGGCAAAACATGGACTTTAATTGTCATCAGTTATAACGATATATGAGGCGGGGGGTATCATTTGGTGAGCTCATTGCTCACAGTACCTCTAGTTTTATTATCCAATTCAAAATCAGATCTTCAATGTAAACTCAATCTCCTCAATGATTACCGTAGTGAGTGGTGTCTAGAAGTAAACATAAATAACAAAGGTAATAATTTATAATAACTCTGGTAAATTACAGAAGGAAGCATTACAACTTGGTAATGACATTATAGAATGTGTAAAACAATATAAATATTCAGGGACAACTCTTGAAAATAATGGAACGTTTACTGAAGCCAAAAAACAACTGTATCAGAAAAGTTTAAAGGCATGCTTTAAATTTTATAGGGATACAAAAAATACTAACCCTTCTTTAAAGACGTTTTTACAAATATTTGATCACTGTATTAAACTTATATGGCTGTGAGAACTGGAGCATTATTAGTGTTACTCCAAAAAGGAAAAATATCCCTCTTTTTGATATATCTATATAAAAATTGGGAAGTTGAAAAACTCAATATGAAATTCTGTAAATATACTATCGGTGTATCTAAATCTTGTACAAATGTAGGAACCTATTCTGAACTAGGAAGGTGCCAATTATTTATAGACATGTTAAAGCAAATATTCATGTACTGGTATAGACTAGAACATACATCATCTAACCTACTGAAAGCAACTCTCAATGAGTGCAAATCAAACATCATTAATAGTGATTGGTACTCCAGTATATTATTCTACAGTGAAAAACTTAATATTAATTTGTCCCTTTGCAAAAAACTAAGTGAAAACAAATTTAAATTGTACATTAAAAGACAACTACATAATAGTTTTTTAAACACTTGGAACGATATCCGTACCAATTATTTGGAAGGCTTTGGTAAATTGAATAGATATTTTAAGTATAAAAGGTCTTTTTATTTTGAAAAATACTTGAATATGAAAAACCGAGACAATCGGGTATTTCTCGCAAAATTCAGAATTAGTAATCATTGTTTAAGGGTAGAAACAGGTAGTATGAAAGGAAACTTAATAAATGTGGTAAAAATGAAATTCTTCCCAGGTGTGAGAGTCTGTCGTTACTGCACCTCAAGTCCAATTGAGGATGAATTGCATTTTTTGCTAGAATGTCCACTTTATAATGACTCAAGAAGAGATTTTTAAAATAAAATCTTTAAAACCTCTCCTAATTTGATACTGCTCAACAATGTTGACATGTTTACATGGATTATGTCAAATGAAGATTCTGAGTTTGTTGTTTTATTATGCCAACTTATAAATGCAAATTTTAATAAGAGAAAACAATATAGTTTAATATATGCATATTGCAGATATCATACATAGGCCATTTATATTATGTACATTTTATACATCCTAAAAGAAGATAGCTAACTCTCTGTTCATTATACAATGTTTATTTTGTTCTGTTTTTGTATATGTATAACTGTGATGATTTTGGGCATTGTTCTGTATGCTCCACTGTGGGCCCAAATTGGTTGAATAAATATTCTATTCTATTTAATAACTCTGTAAATGCCAGGGGGTCCGGACCCCCGACCCCCTTCTAGATCGTGCATGTATTTAATGCACCTTATTCGGAACTGGTCAAACAACTATATATTGCGTGCAGTAATAAATCTCGTGTTCTTAACTCGTTGCTGAAAACTTGTTTAGAGCAGGTCCGAGGTATTTAACTATTTATACGCAAATCAGTTTTTAGCATTTCCCAAGTGTTTCTTTGCTGTCAATAGAATCCATTTATTACGACTACAGAATATTCGAAATGCGGAGTGACTTTAAACCAGGTTGTTGAAATTCCTGTAACATCAGCTTATCTGTCAGCAGCCTGCCTTGGTTTCGTACTCGGAGCAATACCATTATCAATGAATTCTAGGGCTAAACTGCATATAGCAGTCTAATTACTGTTAATAAACACTGAACTGCTTCTATTGGTAGACGTTTTTATCTATTATCAATTCCAGAGAATTGTACGTTTTGCATTACGTCACAACCTAGGTTGACAGCTGCACTCAAATGTAAATAGCACTGGCCTTCTAACTGCAAGATTCATTACTGATAATTTCTCCTTATCCCTTGCTCGTACAACAGACAATTTCTGTGTCAATGTTCATTTGTACCTGCATATGGCATGCATTGTTTACGCTGGGCACATCCATCAAAATAGATCGTGACAAAATGAGAAACGGTATACTTCACTTGGATTGTTAATATCGATGGTAATTTAATAGTTTAAAAATAGAGAAAAAAATATAAGAGAAAATAAGATTATCATTATTTTAATATGTACAGAATAAAATTAATCAAAATCAATTAATAATTCCAAAAAGATAAGAAATTTACACCAAAGAGATAAAACGGAAACGAAACGTGATTTCTGCGTCTACATCAATCTGTAAGAAAAATAAATAGTCTTAAGAATTGTCAAACTTTCATTTCTGTAACATTTAGAAATATTTCAGTCTGTTCTTTATTTGACTTAATATTTTAACACATCTTACCGTCTCCATACATCTTCCTGATCTGTGTTTACTCTGAAAAAGAATATTCACATAGAAATTACATCTTAAAACAAAAAAATTCAGCACAAATACGAGTATCATTATTGATAATACATGTATGACATGAAATATTCTAGACACATAATTATTTGAATACTGGCATATATTCATAATACACGTAATAATTTTATCACGTTTTGAATAACAATTTGATAACCCAAGCTGCTGCATCTTCAGTTACGTGTATGGATTGTATCAGATATGCATGCATGTATTCATGTACATGTATTTATATGTCTGTAACCTTTCTTTCAGAACTATATTGTAAAAATCGTTTATGCCCTCTGGATTCAAAATTGGACAATAAAATTCTTATATATATATTTCACATACTAGTATGAAATCCCGATTTAAGGATATCCGATCCTCATCCAGGAAGGATAACTCCAAAAATTAATTTTTAAATTGAAATGCATCAAAATGAAGCTTAAAAATTTTTTTTCAAGCAACAATTTTCATTTTATACCATCTTCTTCCACCTTCCTCAAATAATTTATTTTCTCCATGAATGAGTCTACTCTGCTCTGTTTTTTGCAAATATCAAAACAAAATGTTTGTTGTTAATGAGCATTTATTGTAATGCCAAACAAATTAAGCAAATATGTACAAAAGTTACATATGACCATATTTGATTATTTATCTTTATAAGATTCGAGCTCTTTGGAAGTTTTAGAGAAGGTCTTATAAAAGTTGACATTTGTACCCTATAAAAGGAGAAAAAATAATACAGTTTTAGAGAAATAAAATTTTCTTGAATCCAGCCATAGATTTCAATGCTTATTAGCATGATATGAAATGAGAAGTGATTTGTGATGTCTTGCAATGATAACAAAAGCCTTTTACACTATGTATTATAGAATACATGACGGAAATAGAAGACAAAAAATACCAAATAAGTATAAAAATCATGACAATTTATCTGAATGCCTGGATACCTATCATTTTTTAACCTAAAATATATTTATTGATCAATTTGCTATTAGAAAATGCATTGCTCATATTCCAATTCGATTTTTCTGCAAAAATATTGGAGTTTGACAATTTTCCTTATATAATATGATTAACTTTAATCATTAACTTTAAAGAAATACTGTGGATAAATTTACATAACTTTGTGGATTCAGAGATACTTTTATGACTATTTTTGATTACTTAACTGCTAATTTTATAAACCTGAGGATCGGACTACCTTAATTGCTCAAACCTTGCATAAACATTATTACTTCAATGTTTACCTTTTTCACTGAGGATTGACTTTCCTCTTTGTGGGGACACTCGCGTCTGAACACCCACGAACTGATGTGGAGAGATTGAGGCTGGGGCCTCTTTCTCCTATTAGTCTTTCCTCTCACCTAGAGTCGAAAAGAAGGATATTAATTATTATGTTTCTGCATACCAAATCTTGATTCTAGTATGACTTGGTTATTTTTTAACATATGAACATATACTACTAATACACGTACATCGACAAGAAACCGTACAGATAAAGGTTTGAAATTCCCATTTATGTGTCTTACGAGTTTGAACCATACATTTACATGTAACTGTATCAACGTGGTTACATTATCCATGACCTGTGATAAGAGTTGAATATACCCGCATAAAATTTTTATTTTTACTGATATAATCGAACATCTTACGCAGCAATACATTAACACTTTTCATGGGTGTCGGAAGCAAATTAGAAGGGGGAGGGCAAAGCCAACAAAAAAGGTTGGAGTCTAAACCTCAATTTTTAATGCCTTTATTATGTATAATCTTTGCCTTAAAAAAAAGTTGGGGGCCCCCTCCCTCCCCACAACACAGCAAACATTTTCTTACCGCTGTCAGAGGTGGTGGTCTGGTCTCTTTTTTAATTATCCAAAATTTGTCTTCGTCAACGTCCATCTGAAAAATTGAGCATAAGTCAAACAATGAATTTCACCCCCCTCCCCCCCCCCCCGACTATACATTTTAGCTCACCTGAGCCAAAGGCTCAAGTGATGAGCTTTTCTGATCAAAATTTGTCCGTTGTCTGTCGTCGTTGTTGTCATTTTCATCTTCCTCTCGAGAACCACAAGGCCAATTTCAACCAAACTTGCCACAAAGTATCCGTATGTGAAGGGGTTTCAAGTTTGTTCAAATGAAGGGCCATGTCCTTTTCCAAGGGGAGATAATAATGAATAAGTGGAAAAATGATGGCATCTTTTAATAAAATTTTCTTCTCAAGAACCACTTGGCCAGGAAAGATGAAACTCATTTAGAAGCATCATCAGGTAGTTAAGATTCAAGTTTGTTCAAATCATGACCCCCAGAGGTAGGGTGGGGACACAATGGGGGGTCAAAGTTTTATATGTACATAGGAATATATAGGAAATATATTTTAAAATCTTCCCAAAAACCACAGGGCCAAGAAAGGTAAAACTCATGTGGAAGCATCCTTGGGTTTTGTAGATTCAAGCTTGTTCAAATCTTGACCCCCAGGGGTAAGGTGGGGCCACAGTGGGGTATCAAATTTGACATAGGAAAACTCTTTAAATATCTGGTCAAGAACAGCAATACTGTGATAAGTCATATTTATTTAGAAGCATCCTCTGGTAGTATAGAATCAAGTTTGTTCAAATCATGACCCTCAGGTGTAGGGAGGGGCCACAATGGGGATAAAAGATTAACGTTGGAATACATAGAACAGATCTTAAATTTTTTTTCCCTAAAAACAGCTTAGTCATGGTTGATCATAATTTTATTAAAGCATCCTCTTGCAGTGTACATTCAAGTTTATTGAAATTTGACCCCTGTGGGGTAGAATGGCGCCACAATGGGTGATCAACATGGGCGGATACAGGATTTGTGATGAGGGGTGGGGGTATGGATAACCTTGTTCAGACAGGGGTCTGGGCCGTATTGAATGATTTCTCATTGCATTTTACACATGTCACTATAATAAACGATTTTCTGACTTAATTACTAACTTGCTAATAGTGGTATGGGCTAGTTAATAGTTATGTACCAAAGTGTGGCATTATTAATACTAGTCATATTATACTTTGAATTGTGGGGGCCAAGCCCCCGGAAGCTCCTGGGTTTTCGTGTATTTTAAGGTAGGTCGCGGGTTTGCTTTTGTCATCAATATTGGTACACAATTTCGACGATTCGAGCGGTTGTTTTGTGCACATTTGATTATGACGTCAGTTACGTCACAAAGGCAACGTTACGTTGTTTCCCGTTTAATTCTCTGCAAATGACTTCAAATCTGTACGAATCAAGTAGATTAATACAAAGTGCATTCTATTATACTTAAACCTCGTACATGTTTTATTAATTTTCATTCTGAATTCTGATGTGATTATATGTAATATCTTAGGATAATTAAATACAATACCAAATGAAAGAAATAATTTATACTGTAAGTATAACTTAACTGGTAAAAGTCAATCAGAATAATCAATAAATCAGCGTAAAAGATATGGTATGCAGAAAGAAAGTTATCCTGAATAAAGATTGCTGAGTTAGCGGAAAACTGAGGGGTTGTATGTGCGCACTTTATTTGAAACTCGGGGGAACATGCGTACATGTATATTGCATCATGACTGTCAATCAAAGCCGAGGCGAAAATTTGCGTATACATACTTTTCAGGATGGAATATATCCTCATCACTCAAACGGGTTAAATTAAATTACATGTATTTTCCTGGTTTTTTCTTTTAAAATTATCACCAGTATAATCATAATTGTTTGGTTGTTATGTATTTAAATCTCGTGTATTCGCCTTGTTTTGCTGGCTAATAAATTGTGAAATGCATTTAAAAATCAAAATACAAACAACCGAACTTTAAGACCTATAATACACTGTAAATAATTTACAAGTTTCATTTTTTCCATATACAATTTTTTTTAATAACAAAAAGCTCAAAGTGTGAAAGCTAAATTCAAGTGTTTTCCAACTTGAGTATTGAAATTTGATTCAGAGAATTCGAAATTAACAAATGTTTGAGACTTAGGGCCATATACATGTACTATAGCTTGCGTCTAATATAGAAAGAACATTGCAGCCCCCCCCCCCCAACCCCCGCTTATTTCCTCAGTATCGGAATGTTTTTTCTTCCCGTTTTCGAAAAAATGATCAATTTTTTGTGTTATGCCTGAATACATGTACTTATTAACCATGAATTTCCTAAAAATACAGGTACACACATGTACTAATATTTTATCAGTCGCGTTGTTGTCGCTGTTTGTTAATTCTCATGCTCGAGGAATGTTTATACCGTCCATTCTGACTTTATGCTTAGAGTAAGAATTTCACAATACAAGTGAATATCAAGTTGCTGGTCATCCTAATGTGTCTCCGCAATAAATTAAATGATGAATAAAATTAAATTTTGTATATGTATGTCACCTTTTAAATCTTGCATATTCCAAAGATCAAGATATTTATACTCGTACTATAAACGTGACTACGTTCAACAAATGACGTTGTAGATATAAATAACGCCATAAAAGCAACATTTTAGCAGTATAAAAGAAAACTTTGAAATTAGTTAGCCAAAAATCTAACGAGAAGACATATTGATTTTTTTATATTAATAGTTTTGATTTTACCTCATCTTGACATTTTGAAATTCCCGACTAATTCGTCTATGTCTTTAAAAAGTTATCCAACCTTTTTAAAAGAAACTATTTTAACAAAAGTGGCTTAAAACGTCATTTTTCCATACATTTCAATAGTAAAGCGTAAAAAAAGTACTAACAACAATACCGCGTTAACAGTAATATAGCATTAAAACTACGTAGGCAAATTTAATAAAAATTGCAGATAGTATGCTGTGAATTCTAAGGAGCATTATATCAAATTTTCAGGATATGTTTTCTCGTAAGAATTTTTAAGCAGTAAACCCGCGACCTACCTTAAGAGTAAAACCAGGCACAATAATAGTGGTATTTAATACCGCATATTTGAGTTCATCTCACAATATGCGCCGTTATCAAAGCTCTATCCTTTTATTATACGTCATCATTCACCTCCTTTTTGTGGAAAAAAACTAATAAATGTGATAAGCCGGAATTTATTTATCCATCCATACAGTGTCGGTACTTAGTCACTAGGTTTACGGGTTATCTCCCCTTTTCTATGCATCGATGAAAGTGAAAGGTGGGTGGTGAAAATATCCGATTTATGTTTTTGTATTATGAAATACCCTCCCACCCCAACCCTTGAGCTAGGTGTTAAGTATATACCCTTTCTCCTTTTGTTTGTTTAAATAACGTTTTTCATTGTTTTACATGGTTTGGCTATACCAAATTTATTAGAGTTATGCAAATGTTATCGAGAATCTTTTTCTGCTGTGGGTTTTTGTTTTTGTCTTTTCAGATATTGGAGATTTCGTTGAAGGAGACTAACGATACTGATCTGAATTGCCTGCTATTTCCGTATTCTGGGACCTTTGGAATGATCTCTGGCCGAATACCATGACAAGGGTCAACTTGGCGAATTATCCATTCGAGGAGTTCAGGGAGAGACAGTAAACTATACTTCACAGTGGTCATATTGGCGAAATCGTCACCTTCAATTTAACCATTGAACTGTTGATTTTGTTGACTTTTTGTGGTTGATGTTGAGATATGTGATGGTTGATGTTGATATATGTGATGTTGACTTTGAAAATCATATCTTATACAATGTAAAGCTAAAGCAAAATAATATAATTAAAAGATAATTTGTGTTGAAATGTGTCCGTAGCACGAATGAGGTCAACCCAGCGTGCTACTTTTCCCGTCAGGGAGGGCACAACTTATGTTGATGTTGGGGGTATGCCATTTTGCCGGCTGCCCCACTGTTGTGTAGACCACTGTGGACAATACCTGCCAACTCGAATAAAACATTAAACTTAAATACGTAGCATTTGTTTATTATATATATATATAGGTCCTTGATAATAAGTTATGTACCAAGATATGGCATTACTAAATTTAGTCACATCATATGAAATTTTAGGGGGGAGGCGAGCGCCCCCCTTAAATCCCCCAGTGATCAAGGTTTAACGCAGGAACACATAGGAAAAATCGTTAAAATTCTTTACGAGAACAACAAAGCCACGATTGTTCATCAATAAATATAAATAATCAAGGAATATAAAGGCTATATAAATAAAAAAAAAATCATCTTATAATATGTATCATACTACAAGGCGTGCAGAATGCCTATAGCTTCAGAAATAAAGTAATAATAGACACTTTGTGTATCTGAATTATTTAGATTAACCTCGCATTATTGAAATTTATGAAATTATGAGAAACGAGACTTTTCCGAGAAGAAAAATCGGAAAATGCATTCTTTTATGATAGTATTCGTGGGATTCGAACTCTAGCAATAAAAAATCCCGAGTATTATATTGCTTTGAGACTAACGTTCTTTCCACTACGCTACACAAATTGAGGAATTGAGGCATTTAAATCATGTTTTTGACCCTTGATTTAATGGATTTCTTGGAAAGATGCAAATGTTGTGTCATAAAAGTTAACTTTTAAGGTTTAGTGGGTCTTTGCATCATATTTTTGTAAAACAAAAATGTAAATTTTATTGCAAACCTTTAGCTAGGATTATCTTTCAAAAAAATGGAGAGAAGACCCACTAATATTGAAATTTTTGTTAAAGTATGAGAAAAAAATCTTTTTTGTCCTTTTTAGTGTGTGCATGTTTTTAAGTACGCAAATAATTTCAGTCTTTGTGCGATTTTTGTAAAGTGTTGAGATTTTAAATAACAGGCACGTAGCATCGTTTTTGAAAGTGGGGGGGCCAACCTGAGAAATTTTTTTTTTACTTACCTAAAGAAAAAGTTGACAAGCAAAAAAAAAAAAAAAAAAAAAAAAAAAACCGGAAAATTGCCCAAACTCGAAAATCCTATTTCGTGGGGAAAGGGGGGTGGGGGGTAGTGTGGCCAACTTTTTCAGCAGGGCCAACTTCCTTTCACCTCCAATTTTTTCCTACATTTACTTACTATCAATCTACTGCGGTAAAAAGTGGGGGGCAACCATCTTTTCAATGGACATTTTCTAAATGATAAAATGACAGATTTTTTCACATCTGGGGTTGGGGTCAGACAAGGGGATGTCCTTAGTCCAAATTTGTTTAAACTCTTTATAAATGACCTCCCAAGTATTTTGGATCATAATTCTGTTTCTGTTACTCTAGATAAAGAAATGATTTCATGTCTCCTGTATGCAGATGACCTTGTTTTATTGTCCAATTCAAAATCAGATCTTCAATGTAAACTCAATCTTCTCCATGATTACTGTAGTGAGTGGTGTCTAGAAGTAAACATAAAAAAAACAAAGGTAATAATTTTTAATAACTCTGGTAAATTACTGAAGGAAGCATTCCAACTTGGTAATGACATTATAGAATGTGTAAAACAATATAAATATTTAGGGATAACTCTTGAAAACAATGGAAAGTTTACTGAAGCCAAAAAACAACTGTATCAGAAAAGTTTAAAGGCATGCTTTAAATTCTATAGGGATGTGAAAAATGCTAACCCCTCCTTAAAAACATTTTTACATATATTTGATCACTGCATTAAACCTATAGCTTTATATGGCTGTGAGAACTGGAGCATTATTAATGTTACTCCAAAAAGGAAAAATATCCCTCTTTTTGATATATTTAAAGATTGGGAAGTTGAAAAACTCAATATGAAATTCTGTAAATACATTATGGGTGTATCTAAATCTTGTACAAATGTAGGAATCTATTCTGAACTAGGAAGGTACCCATTATATATAGACATGTTAAAGCAAATATTCATGTACTGGTATAGACTAGAACATACATCATCTAACCTACTGAAAGCAGCTCTCAATGAGTGCAAATCAAACATCATCAACAGTGACTGGTACTCCAGTATATTATTCTACAGTGAAAAACTTAATATTAATTTGTCCCTTTGTAAAAAACTAAGTGAAAACAAATTTAAATTGTACATGAAAAGACAACTCAATAATAGTTTTTAAACACTTGGAACGATATTCGTACCAATTATTTGGAAGGCTTTGGTAAATTAAATACATATTTTAAGTATAAAAGGTCTTTTTATTTTGAAAAATACTTGAATATGAAAAACCGAGACAATCGGGTAATTCTCGCAAAATTCAGAATTAGTAATCATTGTTTAAGGGTAGAAACGGGTAGATATGAAAGGAAACTTAATAAATGTGGTAAAAATGAAATTCTTCCCAGGTGTGAGAGAATCTGTCGTTACTGCACCTCAAGTCCAAGTTAGGATGAATTGCATTTTTTGCTAGAATGTCCACTTTATAATGACTCAAGAAGAGAGTTTTTAGATAAAATCTTTAAAACCTTTCCTAATTTGATACTGCTTAACAATGTTGACCTGTTTACATGGATTATGTCAAATGAAGATTCTGAGTTTGTTGTTTTATTATGCCAACTTTTAAATGCAAATTTTAATAAGAGAAAACAACATAGTTCAATATAGGCATATTGCAGATATTATACATAGGCCACTTATAATGTACATTCTATACATCCTAAAAGAAGATAACTAACTCTCTGTTCATTATACAATGTTTGTTTTGTTCTGTTTTGTATATGTATAACTGTGATGATTTTGGACACTGTTCTGTATGCTCCACTGTGGGCCCAAATTGGTTGAATAAATATTCTATTCTATACATTCTATAGTGAAGGTAAGGTTGGGGAAAAAAGGCGGGCAGCCCCCCCCCCCCCCCCCCCCCGTTGCTACGAGCCTGAATAAAGCATATGACATACTAGTATATATAATAAAATTTGGATATAATTGAGATTTAATTTTTCGCTCTATGTCTATCGCAGTATAGGCATTTCGTCCACCTTACCCCCCCCCCCTCACCTTACCCCCCCTCATCTTTTGCTAAAACTGAAAGCATCTGCAGGAAATATAGATTTACGTTTGTTCTGAACTGATTTTTTAATTTACTTAGCTAGTTGCTCAAGTAAGCGATATGGCCCCTGGGCCTCTTGTTTTTCAACCGGCTTTTTTATCATCCCATATTAAGTGAAATTGACATTATACTAATTTAACTGCAAAGCAACAAGCTTTAATTAATTCATGAAAAACTTTTTAAAAATATTCATTTGGTAAAATACTGAAATATAAAAAAAGGTGTTAAAAAACTATAAAAATAAGAGATATTATAAGTGTTACAAATTTAATTGATTTACAATTTTTATCATTGTACAAGGTAATACTCACCGACTCAATCGATCTCCCATAGCCATCAACAACTCTTGCCTATAAATATATCAATTAATTTTTAGAGTAACTAAAAGAGGGAAAAAATCAGAATAAAAAATCTTAGTTTTAAAAATTCATTGCTTTTTTTATTTCGTGATAAGAAAAATTCACGACGGTTTCAACCTTTAAAAATATGTTAGCCTTCTCCCGATTCAGATTGAAAAATCAAAGAAGGCCTTACGTTTAAAAAATATATTTTAAAAAAATATACCTTCTTTGTCGCGTAAAGATGCTCCGATTGCTCACTTGATCTCTTCATTTTAATGCAAACAGATGTGTTGCCACAACGTTAGAGCCGAATCAACGTCATCACATTGTGACGTCACAATCACTTTTTCTTTACATATTGTGACGTCATTAATTATGTTTTTTTTTCCGTATTTGCAAGAATAAATACCTTCCAAAATGTATGCCCTTATGCTACAACAATCTTCAACCCCTTTCACAAACACCAAACAGTGTCACTGTGTAATAGAATACGCAATTATAGCCGCTACATATCCTTTTAATACATTCGAAATACACTGTACGGACATATTCTGTAATAATTTATTTAACCCGTGATATGCTTTGAATTCAAAACGGAACCAAGTACCTGTGACTAGGAACTTAAAAAATGTACTCTGATTCGGCTCTTTGATGAAAAAAATAGTAAGCCTGTTAATTTATTGTAAAAATGTCACATTTAATCATTTAATTTTTTTCTATTTTGTCTCCAAATAATGTGCGTTATTTAACTTTCCACATCAAAAAGGCTTTCAGGATCTTTGAACCACACCAGAACTAAAATGCAAATATTGTCGGTTGTATACACGTAAAACAGCATCTTGTATATTGTATTCACATTGTCGACACAGAGAGGTCCTTTTATACAGCTGCGACCCCCCCCCCCCCAAAACAAAAGAAACTAGTGCTAATTGTAACGGGAACCGTTACAGATGTTCCCCAAACGCTCCCCAACTCCCTTTTAGTGCCATATTCCTGTAAGTTTCATTAAAATAGGCAGAATCTATGCATTTAAGACTTAAACAACATTGCATGAGCGTAATGACTATATTATCTTGTCTACACTATTTTACTCATTGCACGTGCACGCACGTGCATGATGACCATACCTTCTTGTAGGAGTCCATTATGCCTGTCTATGTTCTTAATCCCATCTTGTTTGGTTGAAAAACAAGGGATTTATAGCCATTTTAAAGTTTAAGCCAATCAGATTGCAGCGCACGTACATGCGCGTGTTTTCATGACAATTATTATATATCATATTGTAGGACATCTTAAAGTATGCCTATGTTTTAAATTTCAAAGCATTTTGTCAGAAAACAGAAAAGATATTGAGATTTTTGTTTCAGCCAATCAGAGCAAAGTGCACGTGCACGCACGTGCATGCATGTAAATGCTGACCATACCATATTGTAGGAGTCCTTTATGTCTATCTATGTTCTAAATCCCATCATGTTTGGTTGGAAACCAAGGGAGTTATAGTCATTTAAAGTTTCAGCCAATCAGATTGCAGCGCACGTGCATGCACGTGATTTCACGAAAATTTTTATATATCATATTGTAGGGAATCCTAATGTATGACTATGTTATAAATTTCAAAGCATTTCATCGAAAAACAAAAAAGATATTGAGGATTTTGTTTCAGCCAATCAGAGCAAAGCGCACGTGCATGCGCGTGAGTTCATGCAAATTTGACCATGTAATCATATCTATACATCTTATATATCCTTATATAATGAGTTTCAAAACATTTCATCAAAAAATATAGAAGTTACATCCATATTAAATATATCAGTCAATTCACTCATTTCACGCGCACGCACGTGCATGCGTATGCGCGCAAAATGACCTTCGTTCCGCACACCTACACTACACACCTATTAACCCTAAAAAGGTTTTAGCTCAGTTGGGTGAACAGTTTCTGAGAACACTCGCGGACAAAAAAAGTACAGGAGAAGAAATAAGAAAAAAAATAATAATAACTAGAAACGATCTCGTTGCGAGCAACGAGAGGTCTTCCGTCCGATTCCGTAATAAAAACGAAAATCTAGCTGAAAAAGTCATACAAAAATATCGGTCACACGGGGGATCGAACCCGGGTCGCCCGCGTGGAAATCCAACGCGTTAACCATTACGCCATTGGGAACGCCGCTTCAAATTTTTAAATGTGAATATCTCGAGATTGGCTTTTTCATTTCTAAAACAAATTACACATTTGGCGTTCTGTAAAGAGTCTTTATTACCCCTATTAAATTTAAAGAAAAATAATGAAAAACAAAAAAGTTGAAAATTTTGAATTTTTTAATTCGCTTCCGGTAGCGACCGGAAGTACTGACGACGCACGAAAAGGACATTCCGCATATCTAGAAGTCATGCCCTATGTTCTCCAACAAGTCTCCAGTTCATATCTTTAGTAGTTCTTTAGATCTCGAACTGACAAAATTTCATTTTAAAATCAGAAAAATGGCCATAACTTGGCACCGGAAGCGAATTGTTTCTAAGTTCTTCCAAATGTAACAATGGCATACAAGAGCGCATCATTCCTGAAAGTTTGATGAAAAACCGATGAATAGTTCTCGAGATATCGCGTGCACAAAATTTGTCTAAAAAATAAGAATAATAATAATAATAATAATAACTAGATACGATCTCGTTGCGAGCAACGAGTGGGTCTTCCGTCCGATTCTGAAGTAAAAAACGAAAAATCTTGCAGAAAAAGTGATAAAAAAAATTGGACATTCGGGGGAGCGAACCCGGGTCGCCCGCGTGACAATCCGACGCGCTAACCATTCAGCCATTGAAAACACCGCTTCAAATTTTTGAATACGAAAATCTCGAGATTGCCTTTTTCGATTCTAAAACAAATTACATATTTCGCATTCGCAAAAGAGTCACTTTTAAGATGTCTAATATCAAAGAAAAATATTGGAAAACAAAAAAGTTGAAAAATTGCGGTTTTTTAAATTCGCATCCGGTATCGACCGGAAGCACTGACGAAAATTTGAAAGTATAGGTGCAAAACTGCAACATGTCATCTATTAGTCCTGAAAATGACAACATTCTAGCTTTTGTCGTTTTTGAGTTTTTGTGTCGACAAAATGGTCACTAAAAATTCGATTAAAGGTCGATAACTTCCGACCGGAAGTGATTTTTCAAAAATTAAAAAAAATGGATCAAGTTTAGATCATGATACATCATCTCTGAAAATTTCAAAGAAATCCGTCCATGCATCTCTGAGAAATCGTCTGCACAAAATTTGGACGAAAAAAAATAATAATAATAATAATAGTGAAAAAGAAACAATAGAATAATAGAAGGGTCTTCCGTTGGAGACGGAAGACCCTAATAATAATAAATAGATGTGAAACTCGTTGCGAGCAACGAGAGGTCTTCCGTCCGATTCCGGAAAGAAGACGTAAAATCGAGCTGAAAAAGTAAAAAACGATTTGCACACAAGGGGGATTAAACCCATGTCGCTAGCATGAAATTCCAACGCACTAAATATTACGCTATCGGGACCTCTACTCTAAATCTACTTGTATATATTTACGAATATGCTTCTCTCTTAAAATTATGAAAGGCAGGTCACTGTTCAAAATTTAGCGCCAAACACCAAGAGTTAATCTTCGCGCCTTTTCTTTGGAATGTTCTATTAAATAGCTGTGATAGCTTCAATGATATTAAAAAAAAGAACGTTTTTATAGCCTAAGATTCGAGATTTAGAAAGTATATTTAACACATTTTAAAAATTCCATATTGTATATATGCATGTAACACTAAAGCGGTGAAACGGTTATGAATTTTTTTTCAATTTCCTGTTTATCCCCAAAGTGAACTATCCCGATTAGTTAATCGAAAAAGGTTGAAACGTTTCGCCGAAAAACATGGCTCACCCTTTGATGGTCAGGGAATCAGAAATCATTTATGCTCAATAACTTGAATCAGGTCTTTGAGACAAGAATGCTAAAATAAACACCATGAAGCGATCTTTAAAAAAATATATACTGACAATATTAAGTGATATTCTTTTTTGAGAAAGTATTACTTATAAGTATGATTTAAGTTTTTCCGTGATGCACAAAAGATATTGGGTATCGAATATCATTTGCACATTTTGCACAATCGTCTTTTGTTTTTCTACTTTGAAAACCAACCAAAACCAACTATAGAAGACGTTAGTTTGACACAGAACTGCAACGAAACTACGACGTGACAATCCAAGTATTTCTTTACATTTCATTTATTCTTATGTTTCTTTCGTTAAAGCAAACGCTCGGCTGCCTCCGTAAACCACTATCGCGAAATGTCGGCGTTGACAGAGACAGTCGCCATTTTGGACCCGCTTCAGATATTTGAATGCTGATATCTAGACTTTAGATTTATTAACATTCAAACAAATTAAATAGTAAGCATTACACGGAGGGCTTCTATTACCATACCAAATATAAATGAAAAATACTGAAAAACAAAAAAGTTAGAAAATACGATTTTTTAAAGATTGCAATTCGTAACGACCGGAAGTACTGACGACGCACGAAAAGGCGATTCTGCAAACCACAAAGACATGATCTATCATCTCCAATAAGTCTCCAGTTCATATCCTTAGCCATTTTCGACAAAAAGGGGCGACAAAATCGCATTTTAAAATCAGGAACTTGTCCATAACTTGGCACCAGAAGCGAATTTTCCAAATTTCTCTTCGGATGTAACAACTTCATATAATGACACATATTTTGTGAAAGTTTCATGAAAAACCGCTGAATAGTTTTCGAGAAATCGCCTGCACAAAATTTTGTCAAAAAAAAAAATAATAATAATAAGAATAATAAGAAACAGTAGAATCACTATAAGGTCTTCCGTGAAGACGGAAGACCTTAATAATAATAAGAAACAGTAGAATCACTATAAGGTCTTCCGTGAAGACGGAAGACCTTAATAATAACTAGTGCTAATTGTAACGGGAACCGTTACAGATGTTCCCCAAACGCTCCCCAACTCCCTTTTGGTGCCATATTCCCTGTAAGCTTCATTAAATAATACAACCTCTATGCATCTGAGATTTTAACAACATTAACAAAGAAGTGTACAAAAATCATTTAAACTTTAGCATTGCACGCGTGCATATGTGAATGCATCATGACCATATCATCTTGTCTACACAATCTATATTTTTAATATACTGAATATTAAAGTATTTAATCCAAAATTATTTTTTAAAAAATACGCTCATTCAAGTGTATGTTTGATTTTACTCATTTCACGTGCACGCACGTGCATACATGAGCATGGTGACCATACCTTCTTGTAGAAGTCCATTACATCTATCTATGTTCTAAATGCCACCCCGTTTGGGTGAAAACTAAGGGAGTTATAGCTGTTTAAAGTTTCAGCCAATCAGATTGCAGCACATGTACACGCACGTGTATGCATGTGCCTGGTGACCATACCTACTTGTGGAAGTCCATTATATCTATCTATGTTCCAAATCCCATCCTGTTTGGTTGAAAACCAAGGGAGTTATAGCTGTTTAAAGTTTCAGCCAATCAGATTGCAGCGCACGTGCATGCACGTGTTTTCATGATAATTGCTTTATTTCATGTTGTAGGATATCCTAATGAATGGCTATGTTCAAAATTTCAAAGGATTTCGTCAAAAAACAAGAAAGATATTGAGACTTTAGTTGCAGCCAATCAGAGCGAAGTGCACGTGCATGCGCGTGAGATCTTGCTATTTTCACCATGTCGTCATGTCTATACTACTAATATATCCTCACATAATGAGTTTCAAAGCATTTCATTTAAAAATAGAACAGTTGTGGGTATATCTATTATATTAGTCATTTCACGTGTTGCACGTGCACGCTCTTGCAAGCACGTGCGCGCAAAATGACCTTGATTCCGCAAATCTACATAACATGTCTACTAACCCTAAAAAGGTTTTACTTACATCGGACGAACAGTTTACAAGATCATTCCCGGACAAAAAAGTTCCAGGAAGAAGAAGAAAAATAATAATAATAATAATAATAATAATAATAAGAAACAGAGTAAAAACAATATGTTCCCCAACTTCGTTTGGGGAACATAATAATAACTAGATGAGATCTCGTTGCGAGCAACGAGTAGGTCTTCCGTTGAATTTCTCGATAAGATGAGATGTGATTTTGACTGAGATATTCGTTAAAAGAGAATGACATTAAGTTTTCCTTCAATGAATTTAAAGTTTCTCATTTTTATCACGATTTTCTGAACATCTTTTGTTCAATATGGCTTATAAAAATACCCCCCTCCTTTCAAGACGTAAAGCATGACAAAAAGATAAGCATTTTGGCCCCATTGCGACCCCTTATTACGTAAGATATGGCCAAAATTTTATATTATATTGTTGCAAGTCGTTAAGATGTATATCTTTGCTTCTGTAATGTATCACAAAATATTGATCATAAAAGAGGTACAGATGTAAGACTTTTGGCCCCTTTAAGCCCCTATTTTAAGATGTCAGCCCCTTTTTCTTGATATCAAATGAAAGGTCTTGTAATTTCAAAGACTTTTTGTTCAACACCTATTCAGAGATTTCTTTTCGTTGTGGAGATATGCTTCATATAGTTATTTAGGGGCCACCCCTACAAGTCCTTAATGGGGCCATTTTTCAAAAATTCAAAGTATGCATATTGTTTAGAATATTATTCTGACCATCTTTTGTTCAATATTGCTTATCAAAATATTCCCCATTTTCAAGATATGAATCGTCAAATATTTAGCGTTCTGGCCCTTTGTGACCCCTAATTACGTAACATATGATCCAAATTCTATCATATATTGTTGCATATTGTTAAGATGAATACCTTTGCTTCTATAATGTATCACAAAATATTGATCATTTAAGAGTTAAAGATGAAAGACTTTGGCCCCTCTGAGCCCCTAATTTGAGGGGTCAGCCCCTTTTTCTTGATATCAAATGAAAGGTCTTGTGATTTCAAAGACTTTTTGTTCAACACCTATTCAGAGATTTCTTTTCATTGTGGAGATATGATTCATATAAATATTTAGGGGCCACCCTTACAAGTCCTTAATGGGGCCATTTTACAAAAATTCAAAGTATGCATATTGTTGAGAACATTATTCTGACCAACTTTTGTTCAATATTGCTTATCAAAATATTCCCCCTTTTTTGAGATATAAAGCATCAAAGATCTGACATTCTGGCCCCTTGTGACCCCTAATTACGTAACACATGATCCAAATTGTATCATATATTGTTGCAAATCGTTAAGATGAATACTTTTGCTTCTGCAATGTATTACAAAATATTAATCAATAAAGAGTTAAAGATGAAAGATTTTTGGCCCCTCTGAATCCCTAATTTGAGGGGTCAGCCCCTTTATCTTGATACTAAATGAAAGGTCTTGTGATTTTGAAGATTTTTTGTTCAACACTTATTCAGAGATTTCTTTTCGTTGTGGAGATATGCTGAATGGAAATATTTAGGGGCCACACCTACAAGTCCTTAATGGGGCCATTTTACAAAAATTCAAAGTATGCATATTGTTAAGAATATTATTCTGACCATCTTTTGTTCAATATTGCTTATCAAAATATTCCCCCTTTTTGAGATATAAAGTGTCAAAGATTTGAAATTCTGGCCCCTTGTGACCCCTAATTACGTAACATATGGTCCTAGTTGTATCATATGTTGTTGCAAATCGTTAAGATGAATACCTTTGCTTCTATAATGTATCACAAAATATTGATCATTTAAGAGTTAAAGATGAAAGACTTTTGGTCCCTCTGAGCCCCTAATTTGAGGTGTCAGTCCCTTTTTCTTGATATCAAATGAAAGGTCTTGTGATTTCAAAGACTTTTTGTTCAACACCTATTCAGAGATTTCTTTTCGTTTGGAAGATATGCTGAATGGAAATATTAAGGGGCTACCCCTACAAGTCCTTAATGGGGCCATTTTACAAAAATTCAAAGTATGCATATTGTTTAGAATATTATTCTGACCATCTTTTGTTCAATATTGCTTATCAAAATATTCCCTCTTTTCAAGATATGAAGCGTCAAAGATTTAGCATTCTGGCCCCTTGTGACCCCTTATTACGTAAGAAATGCTTAAAAGTTGAAAATATGTTGTTGCAAATGGTCTAAAATTAATAAAAATCGAAAAATCGAGCAGAAAAAGTGATAAATTTTTTTGGACACACGGGGGATCGAACCTGGGTCGCCCGCGTGACAATCCAACGCGCTAACCATTCGGCCATCGGGATCGCCGCTTCGCGTTTTCAAATGCAAATATCTCGAGATTGGCTTTTTCGATTTTCAAACAAATTACATATTTGGCTTCTGCAAAAGGGTCTCTATTCAATTCGTAAACAAAAATATTAAAAAAGAAAAGTTGAAAAATTACGTTTTTTAAATTCGCTTCCGGTTTCGACCGGAAGTATTGACGTCGCACGAAAAGGCAATTCTGCAACGCTATAAGTCATGAACTATCATCTCCAATTAATCTTCAGTTCATATCTAAATCAGTTTTCGCTACTAAATCAAGACAAAATTGCATTTTAAAATCAGAAAATTGTCCATATCTCACGACCGGAAGTGACGTCATCGACGAAAAAAATTTCCAATAAGGTTCAGATCAGTACCTATCAGATCTTAAAGTTTCATGAGAATCGGTCCAGTAGTTTACGAGAAATCGCGTGCACAAAATCGGTAAGAATAATAATAATAATAATAGGGAAAAAGAAACCGAAGAATAACAAGAAGGTCTTCCGTTGGAGACGGAAGACCTTAATAAGAAACAGAGTAAAAACAATATGTTCCCAAACTCCGTTTGGGGAACATAATTCAATGCAAAAGATTTACAGTGTGGAGGCAGTATAAGACAAGAGGCCTAGGGGCCACATCGCTCACTTGAGCACATCGTCCAGGAAAACACACAAATCAGATCAGACTGAAAAGTTTACCGAGGTGGGAAGGGATGGGGGGCTTGGATTTTAATACTACTTGAGAATGCCTTCATACCAATACATTGTACAATATATGAATTTGCTGCTCTTGATAAACATATTTTTAAAAACATTTTCTTTCTATATATTACTTAATAATTTGAATCCCCATTGTTTCCCTCCAAAACCCCAAAGGGTCATGATTTTAACAAATTTTAATCTTCAATACATGAGGATGCTTACATGCCAATATGACTAAACATAGCTTATCTGATCTTGGTAATTCTCCCTTTATTTTTCTATGTAAACTTTAATCCACCATTTAGCAACCACCCTACACTAATCATGGCTTTGCTATTCTTGAGAAGAAGAATTTTTAAGTATATTTTCATGTAAAACTTGGATCCCCCATTGTGGCCCCACCATATCCCTGGGGTTTATGATTTGAACAAACTAGAATCTATACTACTTGAGTATGATTCCATATATCACTAATCATGGCTTTGAAGTACTTGAGAAGATTTTAAAAGATTTTACCTACAATTCCTTTGTAAATTTTTGATCGGCCATTGTGGCCCCGCCCTACCCCCGGGGGTCATGATTTGAACAAATTTGAATCTACACTACCAGAGGATGCTTCCACATAAGTTTCATTTTTCATTGCCTAGGGGTTCTTGAGAAGAAGAATTTTAAAGATTTTCCCTACGTATTCATGTTAAACTTTGACCCAATCATTTTTCCTGGACTAGGCCTAGTGGTTCCTGAAAAGAAGATTTTCAATTTTTCACTAATTCATAATTTTCTCCCATTAGCAGAGGGCATGGCACTTCATTTGAATAAGCTTGAATCCCCTTTATCCAAGGATACTTTGTTGCAAGTTTGGTTGAATTTGGCCCAGTGGTTCTTGAGAAGAAGATGAAAATGTGAAAAGTTTATGACGATGACAGACAAACGGACAAATTTTGATCAGAAAAGCTCACTTGAGAGGTGAGCTAAAAAGCATAAAAGTATAAAAAAATAATTGTGTATTATTCTTTCTTAGCACAAGATTTCCACCTCATATTTTGATGAGTTTATGGTAGGACAAATCACTGCTTTTACTCCTTTTGAATTCGTAACTGTTCGTCTAAATCATAATATGAGGAATAAGAACTGAAATAAGGATTCAATAACTATACAAGAATAAATGATTTATTTTCAAAAATGTTTTATCTTGATTGTGATTTAATTTTTTTTGGAATGTGTATCTTCATAATATATATCTATATACAATCATAATGTACGTATTATATGGAAAACAACTGCCTTCTTTTATAGAATCTACACTTTATGAATAACAGATGAAGAGCAAATCTTGTGGTCTATCTACTGATGGCTAACAGTATTTTTAATCTCAGACTAGATTCAACAATCAAAGGTACATGTATCAACTAAACAGATAACAAAACGTAAAATATTTCTATAACAATTTGAAAATAATTCAAAATGATCAATTTTCAGATATACGTGTAGATGTACAGTTAAGATATACAATAATTCCTCAACACATTACAATGGAAAATATGAAAACTTATCCATATTGTGTTTCTTTTCAAACTTTTTTGATATTTATTCCTGGTGGAATGTTTGTTTTAATAACTGCACAAATTAGTACTGTACTGACAATATTTAACATGCTTTACTTGATCTTTTTTAAGGTTTTGTCCATCCTTCAGTAATGTCTTTTGACACGTATAATGTAAAAATTAAAAAGTAATAAATATGTTACATTCAGTGTTGCTAAAATCATTGTCCTATAATTTGTGCACTTGACGGTCCTGTAACACTCTCAACATTCTCTGGGTCAGCCAGGTTTCCACACACTGATGCTTCCCCCTTTGTCCCCGGTAAGCACACACCTCCTCCCCATCTCAATACAGGTCACTGGCTCTACAACAAAGACATTGGAAAAAAATTAGTGAAAAAGAAAAAAAAAAATTACAGTCAAATCAAACTTTCACTAGCTTCATTTTATTTTGATTGTAGCTTCATTTTCAGAATCCTGAAAGCTGAAAATCACAAGACCTAAAAATTAAGTTTCTTCAGACTTGCATGTAATAGAATAAAATGAGCTAGAGAAAGTTTGATTTTAATCAGTCTGATCCATTTCTCACATCAAATTGTTTTAATGACCATATGGTAGGCTATAAATACACTTCTTCCTCCTCTCTTCATGTTCATTTCAGAAAAAAAGCCAGATAAACCATTTCATAGCCAGGAAGGGATAATAACGTTTTTCAATGCAACTTAATATGCTGCTCATAATTCCAGTAGTACACGGTAAACAGGCAAAGAATCTGATCCTTTTTTTTGTAAGATCCATGATTTCCTACTTTCAAGATAAGATTGCATGTAACTTATGAAATAACAAGTCTTTTTAGAGAGATTGTTATTTATTGGTAATTATTGGTACTTTATTTGCAATTTATATAGAGTATGTAATGTTAAATATGTTGCTTTCAATTTAACATCATCTTACCATTATGGCCTTTAATTGCTGACAATACACTGGCTTTCTCAATGTCCCAAATTTCTAGTTCTCCATTCTCTGTCCCACATAGTATCAGACTTTCCAAACAGGCTAAACAACTATGTAAAAAAGAAATGTGAAATTCACAGAAGGTAATGATATAGAAAAATCACTGTTACCTGTACCTGAAAATATTGTGCAACACATGGATGGATTTAGTATCTGGCAGAGTCAAAAACATAAATCATAACTCTGTCCATCTTAACATATATATTTAAAATCATATTCCAATAAACAAGATTTCTTGTAAGAAATATTTACAAACTTTATAGAAGTAATTCACTTCAAAACAATTATCTAGCTGGCATAAGAAAATATAGAGTGTGATACATATGGTGTTCCTTACAGAATTTGATGTCCTAAATTCTTGACAAAGACTTCTGTCTGTGTCTCTACATCTAGGATTTTCAGTACCGAGTCTGCTCCACACGAAATCAGTCTTCTACTATCTGTTAACAGTAACAGCACAATGCTTTTTCATGGAAAATAAACATCTATTTCTTTCCTTTAAAATTAAAGTTAATATATTTTCTTCTTTGCACAAAGAAATAATTGTGACAAATAAATGATTCTCTTTACAATTTTAGTTGAACATTTAAGAGAAATACGTATAATTTAATGATAATGTTCCATAAAACTTACCAAAAGTAAATGCGAGTGAATTGACTGTGCCACTATGAACTTCTAGGAGAGAGAGAAAAAATACATGCAGATGGAAACAGAGTACTTTATAGGAAAAGGAAATTTTCAAAACTGAATTCTAGAGAACAATATTATTTCTTAATCACACAGAAAATGGTGAGGAATAAGGTAATTCCTTTGAACTGTACCTTCCATTTCTGCAATAGGACGTAGAGATTTGACGTCCCAAATTACAACATGTCCTTCTTCAGTTCCAGTCACAAGAAGCGAACCAGTGTCATCGATGTCCTGGCAAGAAACTCCAGAATCAAGATCTAGTTGTCCCTGAAAGAATGAAAAATTATAATTAATATAAAAAAAAAGGATGTCAGAGAAAAGTGAAGAGCTGAACATAAATTTTGGGGTATAAACAAATTTGGGTGCTTACTTGGAAAACAGCTGCTTTAAAATCTTGTGGTTCCTTTGGTGGATTAAACTCCCACACCTGTACATGCAGAAATAGATCATTACTTTATATGTTTAACATTAGATTGTTTCTCTTTATCTATTCAGCTACAGAGAGGGGTTCTATGCTGGAAATGAATTCATGCATGTCTCAACAGAACTAACTCATTTCTTGTTCTTTTCAGTGCTGTGAAGAGTTGTGGTTATATATTATCCATACTAAACAAGGACTCTTCAGTCATTAGTAGAGTGATATTTAAATTATTTTTCCTATATTTCATATTGATTCCCATTTCTCTTGAACTCTCCTTTTCTCAAGTTTCTTTTTATATATCAACTACATGTACTTTAATTTCCATCCTGCATTGCAATGTAGTCACCTTTGCAGTTGAGTCCCATGATGCTGTTATCAGATTGTTATTCTTCCAAACAACAGAGGAAACTGCAAAACATAAGGAGTTGTTTAAATAATGTTGTTACATTTGTTTTAAAAACAGAATCTTCAAATACAGAAAAAAAATAAGAAAACAAGAAGATGTGTTTGTAAAACAAAGTTCAAGGTCAAGAGATAAAAATGTTGGTTCCCAAAGAAAAGTCTGGTCTCAAGGAAAACACCTGTGAAATATGATATCCCTTGCTACATGTACAATCATTCTAAAATTATGGTCAAAGTTTAAAATTTTCAAAAAGTAGTGAAAGACAAAGGCTGAGGTCAGAAAGGTCAAAATTGTTAGTTTCCAAAGAAATATCTTGTCAAAGGAAATTTAACAGTAATACAAACTATCTGTACCCAAGGAAGGTCTTATATGAAGTATATATAACAAGGAACTATTTGTTAAGTGTGAAAACCCTAGCGACAGCTGTTCAAAAGTTAAGGCCTAGGTTTAAGTTTTATAAAGTTTTTCAAAAGACTTAGCTCCAGTTAATTAAAAGTTTTGGCAAGGTTTTGTGGACAAGTGGACATCAAACAATTTTGGAAAACAGTATAATAATCTTAAATGAAATGTTACATGTATCACACCACTTCAAAGAAGACATCTAAAATAATATTATTGGTTGATGTACATGTACATGTGCATATTTACATTATTAAAAAATTATACAAATTTAAGGCAGTGGTATATTTTAAAATATTTTGTTTAACCTGTATATATATATATCAATAGTATATCTGTAAATAATAAATGTTTACCTGCATCATCATGTGCTTTTAAAGTGTCAAAAGTACGTCCAAATTCTACACTGTAGAAATATCTGAACACAAGGATAAAAATAAAGCATTTACTTTTAAACTGGTGATTCTATAACAAAATAAATGAAAAATAATTAATCTTTACAAAATCAAATGTCTTGTTTAATACCATGGTTATTAGAACACAAGATTAAGGCAGCATGGCTATAGTTCTTTTTATTATATACCTAATGTGTATCACTCAATTTTACTGTTGATTTTACGCTATCACGTGACGTCGTGATCCGACTTTCCGGATCACCACACTGTGATTTTCTGAATCCATATCACCACTCTCTGAAACTGATGACGTAGTACGCAGAAACATGACGTTATTTTTATTACGCGTTACAAAGTCCCCTGTTATTATGCTTTGTTTTATGGATAAATTTTACCCAATTGACCTATACATTTTCATTTTGCTATATTTGACTAGTTATAAGGGGGTATATAATAAATTTATCATTATAACAGTAACTTGATCCAAAGAGCCGTATCACGTCTCGCTGACAGGCGCGGATCATCAGATCAAACTCGACGCTTCGCGTCTCGTTAGATCTGACGATCCGCGCCTGTCAACGAGACGTGATACGACCCTTCAGATCAAGTTACTGTTATAATAATATATATATCATATACTAATGTTTTTACATATTTGAACGTTGATCCTGTCCATAAAGATAAGTATGATGAAATTAAAAGATGGATATTTTTCCTCTCTTCAAATTAATTTCAATTTAATCTTATAATTCAGACAAAATTTGATCTTACACATAGTTATCCCAAGATCCAACAACAATTGTTCTATTATCAGGCATCACTATACAAGAAGACAATGCCTGCAAAAAAAAACAAAAGTCATCTTTCATAATACTTTCTGTACATAAGTATTTCAATAAAAATACTCAGCTTTTTTAAAGGCTTACAGAGTCAGACTTGCTTAGGCTAAACTTTATCCAACTATTTTTTTTAATTTACCATATTTATGCCCCTGGATCAATACATTGGGGCATATATTTTTTGTCCTGTCTGTCTGTTTGTCTCTGTCTGTCTACTATCAACTTTAACCTTCACCATAACTTTTGAACCATAGGAGAAAGAGACTTTATATTTGGTATGCATACTCCACTAATTAAGCTCTTTCGAATGACACCAAGGTCAATGACCTTGAGACCTTGACTGTGACCTATATGCTAAAAATAGTTTTTTCAAACTTTTGCCATAACTTTTGAAACATAGGAGATAGAGACTTTATATTTGGTATACATACTCCACTAATTAAGTTCTTTCAAATCACACCAAGGTCAATGAACTTTTGACCTTGACTGTGACTTATATGCTAAAAATAGCTTTTTGAACTTTGTTGCCACCAGGCGCATAGTGTTTCAAAAACACATCTTGTTTTCTTTCATATTTTGATAGTACATGTATAATATGTACAGCTGATAATTACTAATCAGCTTTAATAATGTAGCAACTACCTAGCTGCTAAACTACTATGAAGAAAGATATCAATGTCTATGAACACAATTTAAGAATACTTCTTATCATATCTCTTCATAACAGCTCCTTTAAGCTCTATGCAAAGCTATGTAGCTGAGATGATTTTGAAAGCACCAATGCATTACAATTCACACTATGAATTTGCATATAGAAATCCCTTCAAATTGTTCTTACCATTTTTGAAACATTAAAGCTGAGCTGCCTCTGGTCTTCCAGTGAATACCTTTTCAGTGTTGTATCTAAAAGGGGAAAAATGCAAATTTTTCAATTACAGCAAGATGTGTGTGTGTGTGAAACACGATGCCCCAGTGATAACACAATTCTGAAGTAGGACGTAGACTGAGGAGGTATAAACTTACCCTTGACAGCTCAATAGTTATGGGCTAGGTTAAAGTTGACAACTGACAGACAAACAGACAGAAAGGACAAAAAGAATATACCCCCTGGGATCTTTCAATCCGAGGGCATAAAAATTACATTTAAGCTTTAAATCAAATTTACAAATACACCTGTGGTTTAGTTATAAATTACATTTCTCATAGAATCAAAGTCATAATTTCACATTACAATATAACAATACATGGTACCTTGTGAGACTGAAAATATATTGCATCCATCCTCAGTCAGCTGCATAGCAGTGACACAGCTGGAAAAAAAGTTAAATGAAATCTTAAAAAGTTTTTAAAATGAATTATTTTATCACAAAAATATTTCTAAAAATACTTTACATTAACCCCCCCCCCCCCAAAGAAAGCAGTTTTTGCATTACCTTTTATGTAGTGAATATTGATGAGTTATTTGAAGTGCTGATATATCATCTAAAGAAAGACAACTCTGTATGGAACTGACTATACTGGACTCTGCAGATTGAATAGATTCATCCTCCTTCACTGATAAATCTTGAAAAAAAAACATATTAAACAATCAATCAATATGATTATTCATTCATTCATTACTAATTAAAAAAGATATTGTCATTTCTTATCACACAAACAAAAGTTTGAAGACTTTGTGCTTATCAGCATAGAAATTCTTAAAAAGGTACATATTTAGATTTATCTTGTATAACTTGTCCTTCTTAAATAAAATATTTATGCTTGAATTAAACTGTTTCCATTGAGAATGTCTCACACAAATAAATTACATGTACCTTGAAGCTTTAAAATACTGTAGATCACTGAATTTTTGCAACACCTTATTTTCGTGAGATAGTTATTGACTCTTAATAAGCGAGACAAAATTTTCAGGAATTATGGTTATTGCTCTATGTAATTTTAAGGAATACTATTATATGCATTATATTAATTTTTTTTGCGAGAACACTGTCTCACATAATTACATGAAAATAAAATTATTGCAAATAAAAAGTAATTTACAGTAGAAAAATCTGCTTCAAAGGACTAACACATAGAAAAAATTTCTGTCCTACACCAACAAATTACCTTGCAGTTCATTCTCCTGTGAACTACTGGATGCTGTAGTGGAACTGTGATGCCTGATGCTATCCTTTGTGAATCGAGGAGGGTGTGGCTTCTCAAACAATTGATGGGGAGTCTGACCAAATTCCATAATCTGGATCTCTATTCTGGCTCTTTCATTTGGGTCCTCGATTCTAAGGAAAAGAATCATGGGCTACATCAGTCACATGAGTGTCAAACTGCTGATTTTCTTTTATATAACCTCAGACCTTATTGTATAATTTCAGACACTTTAATATTGTATAACTTCAGACCTTATTGTATAACTTCTAACACTAAATTATTGTATAACTTCACATTCTTATTGTATAACTTCACATTCTTATTGTTTAACTTAACATTCTTATTGTTTAACTTCAGACACTTGTTGTGTAACTTCACACCTGAATATTGTATAACTTCAGACACTTATGGTATAACTTCAGACCTTATTGTACAATTACACTGCAAGAGGATGCATCCATATTAATTTAGAGGTGTATTTTTTAGTTCTTATGAAGTTCATCATATGCCTGCTCACTCTTGCTTATATGCAAATGATTTCTCTCATTAATATAAGGAAAAAATTAAGAGTGATAGACACCAGTGTAGGTTCCCTGCCTTTAGCAGTTATTTTCCCTTCTAAATACATAGGGATAAAATTTATACCGGTAGAATTAATTTTCATGCAAAGTTTGGAGAAGAATGCATGGTAATCTATATTATATTAAATCACATACTCGTCCAAATTCACCGCTCCTTCATATGTCATGTAGTAGAAAACTGAAACAAAAATAAAAAGTATATACAGTATATTTGATTTTGAAAAAAGATTACTTTAAAAAACTTTTCTATATGCAGCATCAACCAAGAATTTATAGATTCATTAAATTATATAGCTGGGGATCCAAGACAACTTCGCTGTATCCTTAAATTCACAATATCCGTGTTTGTACATGTACTAAACAAGTTTTCTTTCATACCATTATCAGCTTTTTCTGCCTCTTCTCCTATCTGTTTGTATCCAAATATAAGATCTATCCAGTTATGTAGGTGTTCTGAGGCATAGTCACTCTCCAGGGCTGCCCTCATTTTGTCAATGAAATCATGATGGTCTAAAGTAGAATAACGTTCACATTATTGTCAAAGTGATCAGAAAGTTCCAATAACATTTTATTTTACAGTATTTTACAATCAATTATCTCCAATCCTCAGATATCTCTAATTTTTCTTCTCAGCCCTATCAAATTTAAGACAACTAGGTTTGACTGTTTATTCAGTCACAACTCACATACATGTATAAACTCTGTATGAAATTGACCATGGCTCAAATAATTTTATGAATCAATCTATTTACAAATCTGTAATGTAATATTCCCCATTTCAGCAGGTTTTCACAACTGTTAAACATAAACAATTTAAGTTTCTATCCCTATGGGAAAATGTTTTTATTTGTATCATAAATCTAACCTTTAGCCCACGGTGGAAGTTCTACATCACCAACAGGTCGGCCATCTTGTCTTATACCAAAGTTACTGACCTAGAAATAAGGAACATCTCCCGATTAAGCCTTATCATATATATCTACACAAATATTGAATCCAAATGAAAAAAATATACTCAGTCAAAAAATACTTATTCTTAAAGATAAATTATGTGTTGCAGAATTTCATGTTAATATGTACAAGTACCATTGAAGAGCTTATTCTGTATCTCAACACTTTAAAATGGAATTAATGCAAAAATTAGACATTTTATTACCCCTTTATTGAGAAGAAATTCTCCACTCCCATCAAAAAACTCTGGAATCAATTCCTTAAAGTCAGCTGCCCCTTCCAGACAATTAGCCCAGGTGTCATCAAGACTAAAATAATCCATATAAGGTTGTCATCTAAAAGAACTAATCCAAACAGAGCCAGTCCGGATAACTATCACATGATTTTACTACTACTCACCTGTTAAACATCCTGTCAGGTTTGTCAAATTTTCCATTTTGTAAGCACAGCACATACTCAGGAGCTAAAAATGATGAAATTTCATCATTCATAAATACATTTTTTACTCCAAGCCCTTATAGAAATTTCATATATATTTGGGGAAACCTTGGAAAATTGATATTCTACTACTTTGACTAATTTACAAGGTTTTATAATTATTCATAAATAATTACCTATTCTTGCCAAATAGAAGAGAACATAACCAGGGGTCGAGTAGTGAGAACCGTACAGGAATTTAGGGTCTGGCATCTCCTGATATCTCTCCTAAAACAATCAACAAGGGTACAAGTATAACTTACATAATATCATCTGATTGACAGGGAACATCCTATGAAATGAATAACTTTACCCTCATTTTTTGGATCCTCTCCTCATTTAATGCTCCTATAGGTTTCTTTAGATCTCTGTAAATGCTCTCATCTTCTAAATCTACAAAAATATGCCAGCATGTCAAACAATTTTTTATTTTATTTCCATTAAAACCAAATACATGTAATACCACAACAATCTTACCTCTTTTATCATGAAACAAGCAATCAGGTAAACTTATCATTAAAAGTTACAATTTCATTGTGATCCTTGTGTAACTATTTGTACTGTTATGTTTTATCTATTCAATTCTTTTCAAAATCTTAAGTACAGTAGAACTATGCTTATACTGAATGGATGCTTATAGTAATTCGATTTTTCCATCCCCATGTCTTTAAAATATACTGTTAACTTAACGGATATAACAAATTACACTTTAAATAAAAAGAAGCAACATCACCCTGGCACTTTTCTATAGGCATGTCATAATGTATTATGATTTACCCAGGGTTGATGAAGTAAAATCTGTGATGATCCATGGCATGACAGGGTACTGAGTTAGATCACAAAAACTTCTGTCTGCTTGGCTGAAATGCACCATAAAAAAACATTACAAAATGAATACTTAACTAGCTGGCATCCAATTAAGACAAATGTACACATTATGATAATGAAAAATAATTGAGGTTGTTCCACACCTGTTCAGGTACATCAGGTAGTCATAATTAGAGAGGTTTTTACTCTGCCATCTTAGCATCATGTCATCTTGAGATGCTTCCTCTAGTTGTAGCTCTATAAATTAATAATGTTGAATCCATTAATTGAAGAAAATTGAAGAATACTTATATCATATACATGTAATTAAGTACCTAGGAAATCCAAAACTTAGCATTGTATGTATTGCATTTACATAAATTCAAAATTGCCTATCTTTTCTTTGTGTCTCATAGGTAGTATAGCCTAATTGTTACATTGTTGTATACAGCTGTAAGCATGTTCATAAATTAAATAAGTTCTTTAATCATATACATTTTCCATTAATATAAGACATTAAAAAAACATGATATATTAACTTGCCTTTCTGTTTGAGTATTGTATCATAAAGTTCATCTCTTTCTCTAGCTGATTTCAGGCTCAGATATATATGTGAGCATGCAGCTCCTTCTTTGCAAAATATCTCTATTCCCTACAGTACAGAATGTACAAATAGCAACATTATCTAGATTACAAGTTTGCTTTACATTGCAAACACTGAATAAGTGGCAAAAAATTCAAATTTTCCTTAAATTCTTAATTATCTCCCCATAATTGAGGGCATGGCTCTTTAGTTGAAAAAAAATTGAATTTCCTTCCCCCACAGATGCTTTTAGGCAAGTTTCCTTTTAAAAAAACTGGTCCACTGGTCCCGGAGAAGCCGTCAAAACATATAAAAGTTTAAACATTTAAATGAGAGACAAAACACAGATCTAGACAAATGCAACACACCCTCTGATCTGAGAAGCTCATCTGGGTCTTGGGATTTTTTTACTAGTCATTAGAACCGGAAGTTCATTGTCAATTATGTGCCTTAATTAATCAATCATAAAGTATTTGTACTGTGAGACAACATTGCTACTTGAGACTGAGTTTGGTACATTGAGTTCAGAAGCCACTCTCAGACTTTCTGGTCACCAAGTGGTTAGGGTGTCTCCAAAGTAAGGTGTTGATCCTTATGTGGCAATATGAGTGAAAAATACTCTAGAGGGATGTTAAACAACATACAAACAAACAGACTTTCTGTATGAATATCATTTTTGTTTCAATTAAAATATGTACTTACGACATGACGTAGGAGAAATCTTCTTTTAATGACCCTGGATATATCTTTTAACCTTATCTTAATCACAGGAACCTAAAACAAGGAGAATTTATTCCAAATATCAGACTGCATACCCTTATGACATCATAAATCAGATTATATGAATACATTTTCTCTTTGTATGCTTTAACTGAAAGATAACCTTTTCTATATTGTTGAAGGGTTGGAAGTACAATCTTTTACACGTCAGCATGATTCGGCCAGGGTTTGTGACCAAAGGCAGAATTCTATCTCCCTGAGTCTCACACTGAATCTTCTCATATAGGTCTTCCAGCCTATAAAAACAATGAAAATGATTTGTTCAAAACTTGCAGAAAAAAAAAATATTTTCATTCACTAACTCCTACAACTCTGAGGTTGAAAAGAAGGTAAAAACAGCCAGATTTTAAGATTTTAAACAAACATCATCATTGACAAATTGATGAAAAGAATATCTAAAATTTAAAGAATTTTTCCTTGTGAAAAGATGTGAAACAGAATGCATTTTTTTCTTAGGATTTGAGATAAATCTAAAATCTTACCAACTAGTATTGAATTTACATCTTGATTGTCTTGATAAGACTATGGCATTTATCTGCAAAATAATGAAACCTGTACTTATGTAAAACATCTTCCTGTGCATAAATATAAATATATTTGTATATGACAACATCAGCTTAAGTCATTTTTCTCATCCAAGAGCCACAATGATCACAAAAGACACTTAGTATGTCCCTGTTGTTCTTCCTCAGATTTTCTTTCCTACGTATTCCTATGTAAAACTTGGATTGTCTATTGCAGCCCCACCATACTCCCTGGTTCAAGACTTGAATTCTCTACCTTAGAATGTTTCTATATCAATGATTAACCCTGCCTTTGAGAAGAAGATTTTTAAAGAGTACTAGTGGTTCTGGAGAAGAAAATGAAACTGTGACAATTTAAGTTTACAATGACAACAACAATAATGACAACAACTGCAACAACAGAAAACAGAAAAGCTCATACTTAATTGAGCTAAAAATTGTTCTGAAACACATATAGATCATTACCATTGCAGTTTGTTCCCCTGGGGGTAAGGTGGACGCCCGGTGAAGCTGACAGATTTGTGGCAGACAATCATCTACCGAAACATAGTCCAGCTGGAAAATGTAATCTGATGCTTCCTAAAACAGAGAGAATTCAAGCTACATTCTGAAAACTATTTAAACAAAAAATCTGACCCAATATTATTCTTATGGTCATATGTTTTTGACAATTGAATCCATGCCTTTTCTTCTGTATATATCTCAAAGTCATGCAAATAAGACATAAAGCATGTCAATTTATAATATCATTTAGAAAGCAACATTCAGTTCATAAACAAATAATTCTGAACTAATTTTTTTATCTGAATTATTTCATACAATACTAACAGTAAAGATCTGCATACCCTGAAAAATGAATATGGTCCAATAATGTTGTTCTCCTTCATTTTCACAGCTCGGTTGGACGTTATCTTTATAATTTTATCTTTTTCCAACCTATAACAAACAAAATAAAGTATTCTTTTTATAAAGTCAAATGCAATAAATATGAAAATGAAACAAATTACTGTAAGCATACAATTGGCTGTGTATTCTTTTTAGTGCTTTTGGTGGGAAGGAACCTCCGCTAATTAAGTACAACGCCAAATCTCCTGCACTTATATGCATAAATAAGAACATAAAGAAATGTGCTAAATCAAATCTAGACTAACTTGTTCAAAAATCAATTTCCTCTTAATATCGTACACGCTAAATATAATATATTTACTGTATATCAGTATAGTTTTTCACAAATAAGTTTTACCTGGAAAACAAGTCCCCTGTCCATTCTTCGACTGATGTGACATTTTTCAAGGGAAGCTGTAATGATGCCAATAATAATGAATGATGATGATAAACCACAACAATATTATAAAATAGATATATTGAAGTATTGATTAATCAATGAATAAAAAATGAATACAATGTTTTTCTTGTAAGTGTGACCATACCTTAATTTGTTACATATATCCCACATGTTGGACATTCTATATAATTATATTTTAATTTCATTCCAAGAATTGACAATTTTTTTTATCATGTATATGTGTATTAGTATACAATTTCTTCTGTTTAATCAAATCTGCACTGGTACAAATTTAAAATAAAATAATGATAAGAGTAGATTTTTATGCTTCACAAAATAAGGAAATCATTAATGATTCTTACTATGTTCATTTTTCACCCTTGAGAGTTATTCCTTTAATCAGGAAACAGACACTTATGAATCATTTGTAAGTTAATATAATCTGTATTGCATTCAATGCATTGTACATCTAAACTGATTATTTCTTGAATACATAGGATTGTGTATCATTTCAAAATTTATATATTTCCTGACAATTTTACAATTCCATAATATTACCCATTTTCCTTTGACAGATTGACTTATTGTACAGTTTGTACTACATCTTGCAATCTACATACATGTACATGTACAGTGTGTATAGCTTTCAAACAATTTTCACTGACCTTAAGTATTGGAAACTGGATAGCTTTGGGAACAAAAACAACAGACTTGGAACAAATTTTAAGATGCCCCTTCTGCGACCTATAAAAGATTTTTTTCACACTTTCAAAATGCAAGACAGTAATACTCAAAGAATCTTTTTAACAAATATGAGTTGTTTTTAACATGAATCATTAAATGTTTATAGCTGATTACCTATACAATAAAGATAAATAAATATGTAAAAGAATTCAGACCAGAATATTTTATTAAATTTATTACAAATCTTAATATAATCTTATAAATATGTTGAATTGTTAAATATCTTTTAACAGTGCATATTACAAATGGAATTAATTTTATCATCTATGCCTACTATTCCTATATTGATCCATTAAATACTGAATCATCTGCATGCTACCTCTCATGCATGTATCTTAGTAATGAAAATACTTCATGGTACTGCAATATCTTCTAATAACAGTAGAGAGGATCTTTTTTATTTTATAAACCTCTAATAAAATGTATAACGATATTGTAATAAACTAAGATAATTAAACATGTTAATTTTTTGTAACAAAAAGGTTCTTGTTGATTAATCATTTCATTATAGTTTTGCACAAAATTGCAATCATATAACAGCAACCTTACTGTTGTGCACAAACTAAAAAGTTTCTGACATTCTAAATTTCAAAAAACTGATACTATATAGAATATCAATATTATTATGCAGCCCTAAAGGTGCAGTTCCAATAATCAGAAAGTGAAATATGAAAGCTCCATCTTCTCTCCTTTAAATTACCTATGTAAATTAAGTATTCTTCAGGGTCAATGTCGCACTGTTATGAATTATAGTTACACTGAAAGGTTTTGCCAAATGTATGCACACATGAAATAATGGTATGAAAGCCACACCTTTTCTCATTGAAATGTTTTGACGGAGGCAAAATTTTACCATAAACAAACAAACTGACTAGCTAACAGAGGAATGAAATTTATCAGTTCTTTTGTTTCATAAAAGCAGGGACAGTGGCATCACTTAGTTTGGTACAGAGATACCAATTAACTTTGGGAACAGCCTTCGACAATGTTCAGTTTCCCAAATTAATAGGCCCAAGACTCTAAATTAAGTATTGAAATATGAAATTTAAAATTGTACTTATCTGGAATAAACCAAGTAACCTGATTTAAACACTCATGGATCTTTACAAGCAACAATAGAGATAGATTCTGCTTACTTTTTTCCCTTGTCTTTTTTCAGCGTGCCTTCAGGGAAATATGTCACACTGTAATCTTCAAAATAAATTTCCCCTGGCTCCAATAGTAGTAAGTTAAATCTGTAAAATAAAAAAAAAATACAGGCCTTAAATAAAACACACAAGTGTTTTACCTTTAGTCACATGACATTCTGCATTTCAGGATTGTTCCAAATCTAAACCTAGCTATCTCTATTATTCATGTAAACAATGTCTTTGTTAGAAACTGAAGTGATTACAATACCTTTCTTGGTCAGCTATATCGTGTTCAATAAACGCCATAGTGATTAGGTGTATCTGTCAACCGTCAAACTTTTGATTAAACCATCCTCTCCAAAGGCACACACAAAAGTGAAAGTACAGAATCCTTCTTCCGGTTTAAAGGTCGGGAGAAGTCATTTGTGCAAAATTATCTTCTGCAATGAAATTCTCTAAATTGGCACATTTCAATTCAAATGTAAATTACTAAAATAAAAAAAAATAAAATAAAAGTTTGAAGCTGAAAGATTATGGCTCTATAGGTGATTAAAAAAGTAAATACATTATTCTCCCTTTCGGCCTTCACCTTCATTTTCAAGATGGCTGACGATGACAAGTACTCGGTCCTTCTGCCAACTTACAATGAGAGAGAAAACCTTCCTGTCATCATTTGGCTTCTTGTGAAATACTTCAACGAAAGGTATTTACTTATTTTATCATTAATTATCTTTATCTTTTAGTTCTTTATTTATGTTTATCGTTATTGACATCAAAACTAACACGTTGCACTGTTGTTTGTCGAACCCGATGTGTAAACAGGTGGTTGGGATCACATAGATGTAGTTATTTCCTCAGTAAAAGGTTTCCACAAGTGTCATTTATCTTTTATGTGCGAAATTCATGAACGACGAGACATTACTTATTGCAAAAAAAAAATACATTAATGGGCTTACAATTTACAAATAAATTTAAGCCTCTTCCCAAGAGCCCCCCCCCCCCGAAAAAAATACAGCCATACCTCAATTTCATAGTTATAAATTAAATGCTAAAATGTTTTGAATGCACTTTTCCTTTTGCTTGACATTGTGGTTTAAACAAAACCATGTTTTTCTTCCCGAATAAAAAGAAAAATAGAACTGTCTTATGTTAGTCTCTGTTGAACTCTGCATTTTAAGTGAGTCACTGCTTAAATCAGCCCAGTGAACAGTTCATCTGTTTGAACATTTTCAAGCTTGTTTTGGAAATTTTTGTTTACTTATGATATCCTCAAGTTGCGTTATACAGGCCAACCTGCTCTTGAATAGTGTAATAACATTCTTACATTGACATGTAAATCTACAGAGCCAAAAATTAGATAAATTTCATTTACCAAGAAATATTTAATATCCATATTTTAATTATGAATTAAAATAAATTACCTTTTACAAGAGAGTTAATCTATAACCCTAAAGTTTGTGATGTTGATCCCCAAGAAATATTAGATCTTCCATGGGATCAATCAGCTAAATAGTGAGGATCATACAAAATATAACTTCAACAAGATTTGTTTGTGAAACCTATGCACCCAGTTGCAACACACTTCGAAAAAGCTATTTTTAGCATGTAGGTAACAGTCAAGGTCATTGACCTGGGTGTCATTTGAAAGAACTTAATTAATGGAGTTTGCACACCAAATATGTAGTCTCTATCTCCTATGGTTCAAAAGTTATGGAGAAGGTACGAAAAAGCTATTTTAGCATTTAGGTCACAGTCAAGGTCACAAGGTCATTGACCTTGCTGTCATTTGAAAAAAAACTTAATTAGTGGAGTATGCATACATACCATATATGAAGTCTCTCTCTTTTATGGTATAAAAGTTATGGTGAAGGTAAAAAAAAACATTTTTGGCATATATGTCACAGTCAAGGTCACAAGGTCATTGAACTTGGTGTCATTTGAAAGAGCTTTATTAGTGGAGTATGCATACCAAATATGAAGTCTCAATCGTTCATTGTTCAAAAGTTAAGGCAAAGGTTAATGTTTGCAGACAAAAAAGCTATTTTAAGCATGTAGGTCACGGTCAAAAGGTCATTCAGCTTGGTGTCATTTAAAGGATTTTCATTAGTGAAGTATCAAGTATGCATACCAAGTATGAAGTCTCTATCTTTAAGTTTGTAGATAAACAAACAGACAGGACAAAAACAATATATGCCCCAGATCTATAGATCCAGGCACATAGAAATATATTATTCTTTACATATATTTGCATTATATCATGATCAGGTCCAGTACAACTTTTCAATAACTAATTTTTTTTATACACAACTATTTTATCTTTGAAACCAAAATGTTTGAATTATATACCTCTGGACATTATCCTTAAACAAAGAATTTACCTACCTCAGGTATTTTATCACATCTAGCTATTTCAAGGTAAGTTTTCTAATAATATATTTCTTTTTATTACAGTGGTTAAAAGAGATTGTCAAAAAGTCGCAAAAAATGACTATTAATATTTACTTCAGAAGATTTAAAAGCAATAAAATTGCATGTTAGATAGTTTTATAAATTTGCTGCATTTGACAATTTATGTCAGAAAATGTTTAATTTCATTGTTTGGTTCAAAAGAAAATTTTTACTCTATTAATTCTCTGTTGCAATCATGATTAATGAAAAAAATCTCTTTTCTAGAATTTATCCTGCCCATACTCTTCTCTAATGAATATAGTGGCAATGCTTGAAATTTAAGTAGTATACATTACATATGCTGAAAAGTTTTTTTTTCAGGGGTGTGTGTGTAACTGTTTTAACTGTGAAAGATAGTACACAATACATATATCCAGCAATTTTTTTGATTTCAATTGCACAGAAAAATACATTTTTCCACAAGCCATCATTTAATTCCTGTGAGTTGTTTTCAGATGAGTTCAAAGTTGAAAATGATCACTGCACCAAAATGATATTTTCTGCACACCATGGAAGAAAAATGCTACAGGAAATTTAAATAATAATAAACTTTCACATCATGTGAGTTTTACTAAATAATTTTTTAACGATAAACATACTGATAATAAATTTATTATAGCTTTATGAGCATTATCATAAAAAAATATACTAGCTAAATCTAGTGATTGTACCAGACCTGATGATGTATCACTAAAATTATTTTCCAACATTTCAATAACTAATTCTTTTTATACACAACTATTTTATCTTTGAAACCAAAATGTTTGAATTATAATATATACCTCTGGACATTATCCTTAAACAAAGAATTTACTTATTTCAGGTATTTTATCACATCTGAGTCACATTCATTTGATTGTTTATTGTCTCTGCTATGATTACTATATAGTATATATTTCATGTTTTCTAATTTACAGTGGTTATAAGTATGAGATAATTGTCATTGATGATGGAAGTCCAGACAAAACATTAGAGGTTGCCAAACAACTTCAGAAGATTTATGGAAGTGATAAAATTGTATGTTATCCGTAATGATTGTTTTAGTTAAATTTGTACATGTACAAAAGTCAACATGAATTATTTATGTCAGAAAATGTTTAAGTTTTCATAGTGTTCATTTATTCAAAAGAAAATTTTTACTCTATTAATTCTCTGTTGCAATCATGATTAATGAAAAAAATCTCTTTTCTAGAATTTTTATCCTGCACACATACTAAGATACATAATTCTGTCTCGGTTTTTGAATGAATATAGTGGCAATGCTTGAAATTTAAGTGGTATACATTACATATGCTGAAAAGTAGGATTATTTTTGGAGGTGTGTGTGTGTGTGAGGAAAACCCCCCTTCCCAGCACATTTTAATGCTGAAATGAAAGATAGTACACATATACATATATCCAGCAATTTTTTTTCTTTCAAACAGGTCTTGCGCCCAAGGGAGAAAAAGCTTGGTTTAGGTAAGTTTTCTACAAGCCATCATTTTATTCCTGTGAATCAAGTTTACCAGGAGAACAGTATCTTCTGGAAATACTTGATACGTTTGTAGCTGAAATCTTGTAAATACTTGTCTTTCTCACTTTATAGGAACTGCATACATTCATGGAATAAAACATGCTACAGGAAATTTCGTTATAATAATGGATGCAGATCTTTCACATCATGTGAGTTTTACTAAAACAATTTTTTTTAACAATAAACATAATAAATTTATTATGCCATTATGTGCATTATGATAGAAAAAAATACTGTAAGAGAAAAGTATACAATGAAGATATATATCTTATTTGATCTCTGAATCATTCTATTTTGCAGCCAAAATTCATCCCAGAATTTATCAAGTAAGTTTTTTTCTGGAATATTTGTTTGTTGTACTCAAGCATACAAATATTATTTTGTTCAGCTTTTCAAATGATTGATTATGAAGGTAAACTCACATCATTTTTGTTTGTCATATAGTTCATATAATACCTGAGTGATTATCCTCTCCACAGGAAACAGAAGGAAGGCGACCTTGACCTGGTCTCAGGGACACGCTACATTGGGTCAGGGGGTGTGGCTGGCTGGGACTTCAAGAGGAAACTTATAAGGTACAGACATAATGTAGCAGAGGAATTCATTAACCAAAACATTATAGTAATTTCCATTTCTATTTGTTTTTTTTCTGTGAGAACTCTTTGAAAGCCAGTTATCCATAAATTATCCCTACCTTCCAACTATTATTGATGTCCCTGGTAAACTCTACTATCTAGACAGTGATTCCTTATACACTGTATTTACATTACATTGTGAAATTTGTAAAGAAGATGGGCGCATTTGGCGTGTGATCTGCAGGAATCATTTGTACGAAACATTTATGGTTTAAATGTCCATGATTTGGTTGGCTGAACATAGCTGGTCAGATTTTACAAACACGTCCATAGGTTTTTTTCATTTAGTTGAAAGTGTGAGATTGTAACATTTTTGTCCGTTTTTCTTAGGGGTTACTATAACACAGTAATGTTTCACAAAAAATGAAAACAGATTTAAAAATGCTGTCTAATAGATTTAAAAGGACACAATGAGTCAAAATCATGCCTTTCTTTATGATATCTGTAGCATACAGAGAAAGACCTATGAAAATTATGAGTATATAGCTAAGATATGACAATTAAACTGCAAGAAAAAACTGCACGATATAAGTGCTGGAAAAACAAAGGTTGTATCTACAGTTTCGTTGTTTTCATGTTTGTCAAAGTCATGCCACTTTTATTTTTAGCTCAAACTTGTAAACAACATTCAACTTGGGCATGCAAATGTAAATAGTTGTTTTGCATAAAACGTTTTAAAAAGATCTAAATTTTTGCCTTACATTCATTCCTGTACTTGAGACCATGGTAACTAAAAACTTATTCAGCTTTTCAGTGCACGCGAACAGGTAGCCCAACTTACTGAGCAATATCACTGGGGCATACTAAAATTATTTTTACTTTTATTTTTTCCATAAAAATAGAGTTTTTAGGTTTTGAAACCTGTAATTTTCTGAAACCTAATACTTTTAGGAATTGAACAAAATTAACACACATTTGGATTTTTTTGTGCGTCACAATTTCGCTTTAAATTACACAAGGCCTCCCATGTCAACGTTTAGTCCCTGCCCACTGACATCAGACACAAAGACCAACACACAAGATTTACATTCATATTAGGGTTCCTTAGCTCCTGACCTATTGCTTGGCAAAATTTACATTCGGGTTGAATTCAACTCATCCTACTTTCAAATAGTTATCACAGAGAAAAAAAAATAGAAATGAAATATTCTGTTGAAATGTTTAACCATATTTTTGGCATATAATCGTTTTTGTTACCAGGTTTTGTGACACCAAATGTAACAGGAAGTTTTAGGTAAATGTTAAACATCATTAGATTATTAAAATAAACTTGATGATGAATAATTTCAAATATACTGAAAGGAAAAAGAAACGCATAAAAGCATTATAGCGAAAAATATTTAACTATGTGGCCGAAAATTATGAAAATTGGTCAGTTGTGTAATTTGGTTACTGTGCACTAAAATCGCTCGTCAAAATTACTCAACCATGAAATGTATGGCGTCACATATGGGAAGTGATTAAAAGCCAAATACACGTGCATGTTGATGATGACATTTTTGTGATCCCATTTTGTAGTGATGCATGTCGACATCGTTTTAAAAATATTTCAGTATAAATTTTTGCAATCATGGTATGGCTGACAGAAGTTACATAGGGTCCGTAATTGTCATAAGTGAATAAAAAGGCAACAACATGTTGCTGTGCAGTTTGTTTTTAAAATTTTAAAAATGTTAATAATTACACAGGTTTCCAACCAACCATGTCAATGCATAACAACGTCACATCTGCTTTTCACTGACATCGGTTATTGTCAACAATCAGACACCGAACACACAAGATTTACATTCATATTTTCACCTTAATACTGACAGAAACTCTCTGACCTATAATTGTACGCAAGCTTGGCACTTTGTGAAATTTATATTCGCCGTATGTAATGTTTTTAGCATGTTCACCTGATAAAATGTCATTAGAGTTATATAGACATTAACGAGAAAACAAATGTAAAAAAATCGAAAATCAATATTCATTGATTGTTGGCTTTATATATAATCATTTATGTTAATTCTCTGAGAAAGATAAATGCTCTGATGAACTCAATGCACAAGAAAATCAAGGCTGTTACTGATGCGCAAGGGAGATGATGAGAATTTTTATTTCAATTCTGGGGGGTATCGTCATATCAATTTCAATAACAGGAATTTTAGGTAAATGTCACACAACATACTTGTTGTTTAAAGTTGGATTAAATTGTTTGATAACAATACTGGAAAACATGAAATAAAAGTTGTAATTTTTTCAATATATATCAGTATATATCTGTAGTATAAACTTGTATAAGATTGCTTTGAAGGTTTCTGTCTATTTCCCTATACAAAGATATTCATCTGTAAATGATTTCACCCATGTTTCTTAATTAATTAGGGAACAAATAATTGAAAATTGATTAATCATTTTGAAGCCATAAACCATGAACATACAGTATAACATGATTAAAAAAGTAAAATGTGTGTTTTAAGTAATAAAATTCTGATGAGACACTGAGAGTCCATACCTTTCACTTTGTAGGATGTGTAGACACAGTAGAAGTGTCAGCCTTTTTTTTTTTTAATTTGAAATATACATGTATATACTTTTGTACATTGTCATATTACCGTAAATCTGGAAATTTTTGCTGTAGATAAATTTTTAGCAAATATACATGCAAAAATATTTTTCTTAAAAATAAATTACCAATAAGAAAATAAACAGAGCATACAAAATTTTGAAACGTAAAAATTAATCAACACCATTTTGATAAATTGCAAAATAAAATCGACGTAAAATTTCCAGATTTACGGTATTTGCGATAAATATGTGTGAATTTCAAATTATGAGGAATCTGGATTTGGATCTTACTTTTTTAAATTTCAGATTGTACAAAAAAGATGTTTTGCAAAAGTTAGTGAATTCCTGTATTTCTAAAGGATATGTGTTCCAGATGGAAATGATCATAAGAGCCAGACAGTTTGGCTTCACCATTGGGGAGGTCAGTTTTGGATGTATCTAAAGCATCACAGTGTCTTAAATTTAACGTGATAATGTATACAGGTATATGAATGGACATAAATAATTTATAATAGGAATATGAACATCACCTGGCCTCTTCTGTATCATTCAAGTACAGCTGTGATTTTTACAGAAAAGTATATTTCTCACAGATTGTAGTGCCCTTGAATCAACAAATATAGCATTTTTTCAATATGTGTGATGTAAATTAAAAAACGTTTTAAATTGTAGGTTCCAATTACTTTTGTTGACAGAGTGTATGGAGAGTCAAAACTTGGAGGGAGTGAGATAGTGCAATTTTTCAAAGGACTTATGTATCTATTTGCAACAACCTAGTTGTATATTTTGAGATGAATATACATTTGTTATTGTTTAGAAAGGAGTTTTCTTATATTTATTGTATTTAAGGAATAACTCTCTTGTTTTTGGTTTTATGATGTAATCAAATGATTGGCTTGCATGTTAATTTGCATGAATTCCAAAGGCTTTTATGCATAAAATCATGCATCCAAATATGAACACCGATGTCTGTTCAATTACCACAGTAACTGCAAAGTTGATATTCAAAAGATGCTTGTGTATCTGATAGACAATGTCTGTGTATTTTTTGAAGATCAAGTGTTCCAAATATCTGTCAGATATTCAATGAGTACTAATTGTGCCCTTTTGGCAGTGACTCAGTTTTGCAGATCTGTTCACATAAAGGTGAATTTATAAAATAAATTCTACATAAAAAACAAAAGAGAACTTAAGACAATACCGAGTATGTGTTTGTGGAACGCTGATGCCCCTGTATGGGATCTTATGTGAAGGGTTAAAGTTTCTCAAACACAAGTCAAATTCCAAAGGTCAAAGTCAAAATGGCAAAAGGTAAAAATGTTAGTAACTAAAGGAAGGTCTTGTCACAAGGAATGCACCTGTGAAATATGAAATCCTAGTTTCACTGTTCAAAAGTTATGGCCAAGGTTAAAGTTTTTTAAAAAGTGGATCTAAGGTTAAGGTCAAGGTCAAAATTTTTATACACTTTGAAGTATGAAAGCTCAAGCACCAACTATTCAAAAGTTATGACCAAGGTTAGAAGTGTGGAATTTTTTGTAGAAATGGGTCTTGGCACAAGGGAAACGCCTGTGAAATATTTTTAAAAGCCATAGTTCCATCACTCATTTATTATATGCAAAGTAAAACATTTTTGCAGACAGAAATGGCAAAGACTATAAACGGTACCCCTGAATCTTTAATTATGGGGACACAAAGTCTTGCCCAGCCTTCATTTCAATGTTTAGATAGTGAATCTAGATTTAGATCCATCATTTTTATAGCAACATATACTGTACCATGATCCCCTTCATATGGATTTCTTTCCTCCCATTTGATTTGATATATAAGATCCACGCTACAAATAACTTTTAAAACGAGAAGACGACGCAATCAAATCAATTGTCTTGTCTTAAGTCAACATTTTGTTGGCCTTTATTTAATTGTCTACAGGATGTTTCGTTGCCTGGTTATGACAAGGACCAAATGATGGGTGTGACCAGTCGACAGTGGATGCTTACTCCTACAAGATACCTTATCCCACTTCTGATTTTTTTTTTTTGGTGGGGGGGGGGTGGTTCCGTGTTTCTATGCTTCCAACAATTGTATTATAACAGTGTACTTTGGAGTCTGATAATGGTCTAAGTTAACTTCATATTTCATGGCTTACTGGTTTTAACATTATTGTTCTGAATTTAAACTTGGACGCTTCAACAACAGCCATTTAAGAAGAAAAACTATTCTTTTTTTTCATTTTGAAATAGAAAATAAACGCTCTCTAAATTTTTGCCAATGTAGCAGATCACATGGACAAAAAACCGTTATCTCAAGTCTCTACTGCACCACTGGTACTGTCAGACTGCACCACAGGTATTATCAGGGAAACGAATTTGGATCCGGCTTATGGCACGTCAAATTAACAAAAATGAGCTGGCACAGTCAAATTAACAAAAATAAAAAAAATATACCTTATTATTAGGTAAGGGTATATTTTTTTTAGTGAAAGAAAAATAAGTAACGTCAGGTGCCTGTGGTTTATCGGTTGTAAACTATAGTTTACGGACTGTAAACTATAGTTAACAACGTTAATCTATATTTTTAATTACATCTAAACCATAGTTAACGCGATAATCTATGTTTCATAACCGTAAACTATATTTAACACTGAAAACAATCATTTGCGATTGCAAAACATAGATTATCTGATAAATACAGTTTCATGATTTGTAAACTATGGTTTACAACTCTTAACTATTAGTTAACGATCTGATAAATATAGTTTCACGATTTGTGAAACTATGATTAGCAACTCTTTACTATAGTTCACGATCGTAAATTAGAGTTAACAGACGTGAATCTATGTTTATCAACAAAATCTTTTTTTAACGTTGGAATTTCCAACTTTAAACTTGGTAATTTAAACTTTAAAGTTTGTAACAACTTTAATATAGTAATTCCAACTTTAAACTATAGTTAACGGATTGTTTACTATAGTTCACGGTCTGTAAACTAAGGAAGCGTATTAGTGCCATGCAATATTTTTTTCAAGTTGGAATTTCCAACTTTAATCTTGGTAATTCCAACTTTAAAGTTGGAAATTCCAACTTTAATCTGGGCTTTTCCAACTTTTACGGTTTTATGTATTAAGTTGGTAATTTCAACTTTAATTTTTTGGTAATTCCAACTTTAAGACACAAGCTTTTCCAACTTTAAAAGGGAAATTTTACTTTACATGGAAAGAAAAACCTAGTGAATTTAACTAGTGCGTTTCACACACACACACACACACACACACACACACACACACACACACAGTTCACAGTTATAATATAAAAAAAAAATTGAGGAGCGGGGATATATAGATTGGTAGTTGGTTAGTGAAAGTTACTGAAAAAAAATTGTAAATTTACTAATCTTACCTAGTAAATATACCAATATCTGGTAAAAACTACTATTAAGGTAGTGATTGTATGGACAGTGAATCTACTAGTTTTCTTCGTGACATTAACTAGTTATTTTTTTACAGTGTAATTTTGGCTTTTCCAACTTTAAAGGTGGAAATTCCAACTTTGATCTTGGCTTTTCCAACTTTAAAGTTGGTAATTCCAACTTTAATCTGGGCTTTTCCAACTTTTACGGTTTGATGTATTATATTGTCTGAGATACTTTGTAACTCGTGATACCATTTTTTTCCATGTAATTAAAATGGAAAGACACAATATTTTCATGAAAAGGCAATCGTTTTATTGTGCATGGCCATAGGAACACCACTTTCATTTACTAACCCCCTCACACACACACACACACACACACACACACACACACACACACACACTCACACACAATAATATAAAAAAAAAATTGCCGATATATAGTATTGGTAGTGGGTTGTAGATAGTGCCCCAAACTGAAAAAAAAATTGTGTTCTATAATTATATAGAATTGATACATTTAGGACTGATGTACATGTATTTGAAGGACGTAATATAGCGCTTTATTAATCCTGTACATAAAATACCTAATAACGGTCTCATTTTTAAAGCTTATTCTTTAATACAAAACAAAATAAATGTCTGATCTCTTAGATCTGTTAGGATAAATTACGGAGTTTGTTAAAGGTCTCTTTATAATTATATTAGAGGACGAAAAGAAATATAAGGATTTCTAATTAAAAGTTGGAAGTTAAATCAAAGGTCATGGGGAAGGTCAGGGTAAAAATAAATTGACACAGATAAAAAGTGCTCAGCAATTTATTTCAATGCATTTGTCTATATTAAGCATTATTAAAGTTTTAAACCATAACTCCCTATGTCCCCGTCCGCCCTTCTTAAAATGCCTCTTCTCCCCCCCCTTCTAGGTTGCGAAAAATCATTGCTAACCAGCCCATTTTAGTGTTTTACTTTTACATTAATAAAGTTGGTAATGGTATAAATTAAAGGGGAAAAACTAATTAAGAAAGGGGTAGAAGATCTCAAATTAAAGTTGGAAAAGCCAAGGTTAAAGTTGGAAGAGCACTAGCTGCAATAATGTAGCCCTCTCCGATTTTTTTTTTTTTTTTTGGGAGAATACAAAACAAAATAAGATGCGGCAGTGGATCACTCCCGCACGGATTTCGGCTCAAATTATCAGTAAACGGCTAATTTATTATCATCTCTTACCTGGAATCCAAAAATGTAATTATGCAAAACATAAATCGATCCAAAAATAACAACGATCCTACATCATCAATATAGTTATTTTTTGTGTATGTCAACAGCACAACTTGAATTTATCCGCCATGTTTACTGACCTTGATGGATTGTATTTTGGGACAGCCAATGAGAATTTAGGATATATCTTAGAGGATCTAATAGGATTACCCTTATTTTAAGCATACGTATCGCTGTTTGCGCAAAAATAACACTTGAAATGGTTTTATTTATCAATGTTTTTATGATATATTTCAGCATAGTCGTTTATAAACATCAACATTTGCTTTATTTAGTTGTTCTATATTTCAAGCGAAAGTCTCAGTACGTCTCGCGTGAACTGTCATGGCTGCTGAATAATGCAGCTGGGAAAGACACATATTTATTTAACATGGTTTTCGAGTTTAACAGGCTATGTTGTTGACAGTGAATAAAAATTCCGTCTAATAATATGTAAGTTTAATGTAAAAATAATTTATCTTGCCTTCAATCGCCCGTATCAAAAAATATATTTGCACCATTACGGAGATGCGATGGAATTGTAGCCCTCTCCAGAAAATATCAGATAAAAAAAATCGGAGAGGGCTACATTATTGCAGCTAGAAGAGCACTAATACGCTTCCGTAGTAGACTATAGTTTACAGTCGATAAATTTAGTTTATCAACTGTGAAACTATGTTTAGCTCATTTTTGTCAATTTGGCGTGCCATACCGGCCCCCTAAACTCTAAATACAAACCCCACTCAAAATTACTTCAGTTCTCATTATTACTAGTAATTAATTTGAGACAACCGCTTACAGATGTTTTTCTCGGAAGGTTTTTGTTTTATTGTCTGCTGTCTGCACATTTATTGAGATTCGTATGAAATGTCATGAACTTCAATACTTGAAAAATCAAATGTGGGAGCGGTTTTTTTTTCAAACTGTTAAAACGTGTAATTTATATTTAAAATTTCATATATGAAAAACTTTATCAAAAGTATGATATATAATTATTATACAAAACTTTACCACATCTTTATTTCTTATTTTAAGAATGTCACGTGTGAGAGAAGCTCAGTGTATATAGTCTATGGCAGGATGTATTATACACAGATAACCAGCCTATAATTAACACAGTTATGATTATTATTAAACAGCAAAGTTGCTTAACATTTTACACAAACCATACTTCTCTCTCTCTCTCTCTCTGACAATCAGTATTTTATCTGAATGGTTTTATTTTTTCTATTATAACTTGTCTACAAATAGGGCACAGTGACAGATCATCAGATCGTGCACAAATTTCACAACATCTCTGATGTCTGCATGGCAAAAATAACATTTCTGGTTGACGGTCGTAACAAATGCAGCAAGTATTTTCATCATCGGACTCGGGTCTATTATTAGAAACATTATTGCGTTCACTATGGGGAGGATATTGTGACTGCACTATTCCGCCGCTAGGGTGAGACTGGGGAGGCCAATATCCGCCAGAATTTTCCATCGGTGGGGCTGTAGGCTCAGGTCTCGCTGTATTTGAGGGGGGCTGGTTTTGTCCGTGCTGCGAGTTTGGATGAACTAAAGGTGAAATTAGTCAAACAAATGATCATTTGAAAGCAAAAAGATTGAAAATTCAGAATATCTCAGATACATCCAGCTCTTTGTAATACAAACTGAACATTGAACAAACTAAAATAAAATGAATGCAACTTAAACGAGGATTAAATTTCCATAGGCGCTCCCCATGTAATTCTGTAAATGACGAAAGATCAGTGTATACAGGGCTACCCCCTCTATACTATAAAATCCTTTGATCTTACATAATCATGTTACTCCACATGCAAAAAATGATCATGAACATTAAAGTACACGTACCTGAATGTGGATGGGCAAATAAGTACACGAAGCCGGTGACAAGATAAAAGATCCCTGATATGACAGAAAAAGCAAATGACCAGGAGGGGAAATAACTCTTCAACCAGAGTTCATATCGATACTGACCCCCGTAAATACTGACTCCGATTAAAATACCGCCAGCTGCAAGTAAAAAGAAAGAGAGGTCTGATAACTGAATGAAAGAATAAGTTAATAGAACACACACAACAGGAAAGACATATTGTGGAAATACCAATTTATTTATTTTTACTTATTAAGTATTTACAAGTATTTATTAAGTAAATGTGTAATTTATGAAACAACTGCAGTTTATAAAGTATATGATACATTCATCTTGTCTCAGTAAATTATACAATTTTCCGTGTTTCATTATTTACCAGCTACAAAATTCAGCACTGCTGCGGTAATTCGAACTCCTTTCTTATTAACAGTGGAGCTCACAAAAGTACAAAGAATGGAGAATATAACAGAGGCCATTGATGTAAGAAGGCCAACACTTTGAAAAAATCTCGATGCATGAAGCCATGCTGAAATAAAAAGAAAACACATTTTAGTACATTTGGTTAACTGGGAATATTAGAATCCAATTAAACATGTATAAACAATGCACAATATAAAACGGATCATTGAATGGAATTGAAAAAATAGCTACTTAATTGGTCTAATCTGGGAAGAAAATCATTAGTACTAAATTGTTGAGCATGACATCATACGGATTTTCCTGAAATATACAGTGCAATATTTCTCCACTCTTTTCACACTATATCCCAAACCATGCACAAAACTCTCAATTTTAACATTAAAAAATTAATTCAGATTTTCTACTAAACATATCGGAATCTGACAGCACTTTCCTTCAGAATATTCCTTTCAGTGATTGTGGTTATTATGTTCCCCAAACGAAGTTGGGGAACATATTGTTTTTACTCTGTTTCTTATTATTATTATTATTATTATTATGGGAAAATCTTTTCCGCGAATGATCTTGTAAACTACACGTCCGACTTAGGTGAAACCTTTTTAGGGTCAGTAGGCATGTTATGTAGATTTGCCGAACAAAGGTCATTTTGCGCGCACGTGCTTGCAAGAGCGCGCACGTGCAACGCTTGAAATGACCAAAATAATAGATACAGCCGTAACTTTTCTATTTTTTGACTACAGTATATGCTTTCATACTCATAATATACGTATATATTAGTAGTATAGACGTGTTGACATGGTCAAAATAGCAAGATCTCACGCGCATGCACGTGCGCTTCGCTCTGACTGGCTGGAACTAAAGTCTCAATATCTTTCTTGTTTTTCGTCATAATCCTTTGAAATTTTGAACTTAGTCACACATTATGAAGATCTACAGCATGATACATGTATATAATAATTTTCATGAAAGCACGTACATGCGCGTGTGCTGGCAAGAGCGCGCACGTGCAACATGTGAAATTATCAAGATAATGGATGAAGCCTTAACTTTTATATTTCTTAATGGAATTTTTTGAAACTCACAATGCATGAATAAAGTAGTAGTATGGACAAGATGACATGGTCAAAATTGCAAGATCTTACGCGCATGCACGTGCGCTTTGCTCTGATTGGCTGAAACTAAAGTCTCAATATCTTTCTTGTTTTACGTCATAATCCTCTGAAATTTTGAACTTAGTCACATATTATGAAGATCTACAGCATGATATATAAGAATTATCATGAAAGCACGTAAATCCACGTGTGCTGCAATCTGATTGGCTGAAACTTTACATGCCTATATCTTTCTTGTTTCTCAACAAAACAGGATGAAGTTTAGAATATGAATAGCTATTATGGATTCCTACATGATATTGCTATCAAAATTGAATGCAAGGACGTGTTTGCATGCACATGCGCACACGCAATGCGTAAAATGAACAATATGTTTGAAAATCGGTAACATTTATATTTTTATGACTTTTATTGATATCTGGAATATAAAGATATGTTAATGGTTCAGACAAAATGTCATGATCACTTTGCATGTGCATGCACGTGCGTTTGCGAACAATGCGTTAAATGACAAAAAGTTAATATCATTGTAGTTTTTAAAATTCTTTTATGAAATCCTGCGAAACTAAGCATATTGAAATTTGCACAAAAGGGGAGTTGGGGAGCGTTTGGGGAACATCTGTAACGGTCCCCGTTACATTTAGAACTAGTTTATATATATTCCTAAAGATTTATCAGTGTCTGAATTACAGTAAATAGCATATTCATCTGCGTAGAGAACTTGCATTAGCCCAAGTTAAATTGTAAAAATTCGGAACATCTCTGAAAATTGTGTTTAAATTAAATGTAGCAGATTAAAAAACAATTATAATAAACTCGTTTACCATATTGTTATTTTAAAATGATAAATATTATGCGCAATTGTAGACATACATGTAGGACAATATTTGCAGATCTCCATCGGCAAAAGCTGGCGTCTCCACATGGGTGAAAAATTCTCGAGAGGGATGTTAAACAACATACAATCAATCTTGTCACTATATAACTACGATAATATTTACAATGTATCATAGAAACGTCATTTTGTATCCTATTTCTGCAGTCTTTTGTCTTGATTTAACATGTGCAACTTACCAGGAATTCTTAGACCCTGATACCCCAAAAAGTTCCCAACCGTCTCACAGCAAGTAAAATCTAGATCTGGACTGGTGGTGGACTTGCTGCAGTGATTCCATAGTCCTATATTGGCGTCCGCTGATCCTTCGGATATTTCGGCCCACACATCACTGCCATAGGATAGAGTGTGGAGGAACCAGGCGAAGGAAATGATGAAAAAGCAAGCTTTACATCCCACGGGAGAATCGCAGAATGTGTCCACTGCCGCGACTAATGACTCCGTCACGGTCATATTTCACTCTCATCTCTGGTAAACTGTTGAAAGCGAAATAATGTTAATAAACTGGCCATAAAACAGAAATATCGATGTTGTTATTACACAATGGTATGATATCCTAACTTTGTTCTCAATTTACCCGAAGTCAAACATTGTCCTGCATGTATATATCTGTTCTTGAGTTAAATGTCTGGTACCCATAAAACCTACCCATTATTGTTCAAGCATTTCAGTGCATTGATAAGGTTATCTTACCTGTCAAATTCCGAATCGTTTCGATAAATTTTATAGGTAAGCTGCCAATCAGGACAAATGAGAGGTTAAGGAAAAGTGCTTATCATATGCATATTTTGGATATGAACAGTAAAGTACCCAAAAATAAATACACTTCCTGGATGGGAAATTGGATTTAAAGATCGATCCTTCTAAATCAATAGATTGTTGTAGCGTATCAGAGCTTTAAATATACCCGATACTCAGATCAATACGTTGAATGCAATCAAGTTTTCAAAACAGAAACTTGACACGGACGGTTTTCCTACTTTTGTCTTCAGAATCCTAATGAAACAGGTGTCCCCCCTAAAATGACGGCTAAAGATTCAATTAAAAATGCTATCCGGGCGATGGGGGACGCACCTCGGGGTCTGACCTGGTCCTTTGGTTTTCTGATGGTTATTTATGGATTTTTCCTGGCCGGCTTTTGTTCCGACCACTGGCTGGAATCGTCCATAGTGTTGTCTGGGTATGACTATCGAACGCAAGGCCTGTGGAAATTCTGTTACGGAGCCTTAGGAGCGACATGTTGCGGATATATCAACGACGTTATGTATGTTGAACGTAGGTATTCTTGATTCAGTGTTTCATATGATAACCATAGGCACTTGGTTTCAGGATGGTGTATTTTGTGTATTATGTGTTTTTCTAGGTGTGTCTGAATACCCTCATTTTAAAATGAAAATAAAAATTCGCTGAAATTAGCACGTTTTAAACATGTCATATTTACTGTATATAAAAAACGTGCTAATTTCAGCGAATTTTTATTTTTATCTTAATGAGGGTATTCAGACAAACCTAGAAAAACACATAATACACAAAATACACCATCCTGAAACCAAGCTCCTATGATGATAACTGTAAACATGTAGATGAGTAATTATTTAAACATTAAAACAGAGCTATCTAGAAATACAAAATAAAACCAAAAAGATCTACAAACGTTATTTGATGGATGATTGTTCTCAATTTTACATTCATATTAAACTTAAATATTTTTTTTTCTAACATTGATCTTTGCAGCTTTCCTCAACGCTACAAGAGCATTCCTGGTCATCAGCATTATTCCTCAAGTTATATGTCTGATTGCAATTTGTTGGGGGATATTTAAACATTCTCATTCATCTTATTCATCGTCAAAATCTGCCGGAGGATTCGCTGCAGGGTTTGCAGGTACATTTTTAAAATGGAATACTACTGGATTCATTTTACGTCATCATATATCCTTACTATACTCCTGTTTAAAAAGGGGGTAAACAGGGGAATCCGTCCTTGCTTACTGTAGATCACTTAATTTTCGCGACATCTTATTTTCGCAAGATGGTCATTGACTCTTTATAAGCGAGACAAAATTTTCACGAATTATGGTCATTGCGGTCATTGCCCTATATAATCTTAAGGAATTCTATTATACGCGAGAATGAAACAGCATTTTTTTACGCGAAAATAAAGTTCTCGCGAATAAAAATGTGATTTACAGTATCACTTAAGCGCTTTACATGTATTGCAGAAAAGAAAAGCCATTTATAGTTCCAAACAGGTTTTTTTCCCGTTTTACTTTAGAGGTCAGTAAAATAATTCAAATACTTTAACCAATGCATGGAAGGGCTACACCAATGGTAGTTTTTACGTTAAAATTGTACTGAGGAAAGTTTTCTAGAAAGAGATGTACATGTAATTCAAAATTTGAAGGAACCTTTACAGAGCTTAGCCATCCCACATACAGTACATGTATTTGCTAGATCTCGCTCAATTTGGCCATTTTAATTTTAAAAACCATAAAAGGAAGACATTATTTTATATCTTTCGTCGAGGATAATTTTATCCATCAGTGTCTTTAAGGTTGAACCCCACCACCACCACCACCACCAAAATAAATTTGAAGAGGTATTTGTTTATGGACCGGTCCTTCGGATTAGACCGTATAAACCGAGATCCCGTGTCGCAGTAGGTCCCTTATTGCTCAATGGCCCTGAGTACCGAGCATAGGACAAAAATTTGTAGCTCTCCACCGGCAAGTTGTGGCGTTTCCATATAGTGAAAAAATCTAGTGAGGGGCGTTAAACAACAATCACTCAATCGATCAATCAATCAATTGTTTATGGCTAAAGAGATATGAGACATGTGAAAAAGAAATACTTTAAAAGATTGCATATATAAAGACTTCTTTTTGTGTGGTTTTCTAATTTTTTGATGACCTTTACTTATCAAATTGAACGACCCCGTAAACTCATTTTATAAGAGAAAACTATATACTATATTTTAACGTTTTTTTACGCTTGGTAACTTCTTACATGATATTTATATTTCAGCATTCTTCATAACTCTGGCTATCATTATCTACGGTGCTGCATCACAAGATGAAGATTCCACGAGTATCTATAGTTTGTCTTGGTCCTACGCTCTCTGTGTTGTCAGTGGATTGGCCTATATACCGTTCTGTTGTTTTATCTGTTGTACAGATGACGAACCAGAATCACCCACGTCATAACTGTATACAATGTACTTGTATTTTGTAATATGCATCTTTGAGTCTCTATATTTTTAAGCTCTTTGACCAACCGTCCCTCGATGATTTTTTTAAATCATGTAATATAATTATGTTAAAATATTGCCAATTTTTGCATAACATTGTTTTATTACAAATATAGATTTATTTATTGTACGAGGATGATCAAAAAGTTCGCGAACTACCGCTATATATACAAAACAACAATTCAGATCAGAATGAAATTTGGCACACATAGAGTCATACATATGCTATAAAATTATGTAATGGAACGTTTTGCCCCGTGTTTGTGACGTCACAATGTGAATTTGACGTCATAAGGTAGATCACTTGTGAAAAAAAATGGTTGACTCAGTCGCATTCGAGAAACGAAAGGCTGTAAAGTTAAACGTATACCTAGGGTATCTTGGAAATTCCTTTGCAGAAGTTTATAACAATTTGTATACCGTTTATGAAGACAAAAGACTTGCCAGAAGTTTTGTCATTAATTAGATTGATTGTTTACGTGAAAGAAGAGAGATGTTTAAAAATGATGTTTGTTTTGTTGTCCAGTGAAAGCAAACTGGGAATTTGAGTAATTTGATATGAAAGATCGCAAACTTACAGTTAGAAAAATAGATAAATATCTGTACATTTATATAATTAATAAATCCTTAAAATATCGTTTACCTTTTACTTTAAACATATCAGATATGATAAATTGAAGGCACCCATACTTTATCCACATGAAATAAACGACGCTCAAAAGACAGAGATGGGTTTTGATGGTCACCATGCTCATTCTGCAAAAGGATATCATTATTCACCCATACGATTGCCGAGATTAGGCCATTTATGACAAATAGACTGTTTCTGTTGTTAAAAATAACTTGCATGGTAAGAAATATAAGAGTCGGAAAAAATTTTAAGCAACTGTGACAGAACGCCAAGGAGCATGTCACGTGACCGCCTATATCACGTGATCCGCGCATGGGCAGAATTGTTGCAGATGCGCATTAAAATCGGAGAGAACTACTTTTAAAAATTATCAACACTGAAACCCTATATCATTTCTTCATTTGAAGTTATTCGATTAGTTCGCGAACTTTTTGATCACCCCTTGTATGTTTTGAAATGAAATTTTATTGTTTCATATTACGAAATAAACTTCAGTGTTGCTTTCCAAGAACTTTCAATAAGTTAACTTCTTGGCAATATAATGCAATTGTATAGAAATTGTTGAATGTTCTCAAAGAAAAAGAATAGCGAGTTTGAAATTAATTCAGTATATTTAACAATTCATTTGCAAAATTACTTTGTTAAAAAGTTTGGAGACCAGCTCTTCCAACGATGTACTGGAATTACCATGTATGTACCAATTACACCCCGTTATTATATGTAGAAGACCTATTTTTGTATTCATATGAAGCAGAATTTGTTCAAAATCTTATGCGTAAAAGAAGAAAGCACTTCTTCTGTGATCTTCAATTCAAGATTTAGATATATTAATTAACAATAGTTACTTCCATTCATATGTCGACAAGATGAAGGGTATGGAGATAACGAAAGTATTCAATATCAAAGTCCATATAAAACAATACAAAATAGGAGCAGAGCTAACACAGACCGGTGGGATCAGGTGACATGGGGGAGTGACCATCCCTGCTGAATGGTCACACCCACCATGTGCTATTTGTCATGATCGGGAAATAACTGAAAAATCCGTCGTCAACTCAGTATAATATAAACCGTGTCCCCCGCTTAAGGCGGCTCCCCCTGACTGAATTTTAGAATTATTAAATGTATACATGTATACTGAAGCAAATAAAATACATGTATGTTAATATGCATATAAAGATTTGATTGCTTATTCTTTATTATGTGTATAGAAGATTTTTTTATATGGAATGTTTATCACACTGTAATGATGATTTTATAACCTCATAAATTTTTCATTTCACATGCTAAATACTATCATTTAGTAAAAAAAAAAGTATTTAAAAAAAAAGAAAGGATTGGCCGAGATTCGATCCCGGGACCTCTCACATTTGAAGCGAGAGACATAACCACTAGACCACGGAATCGCTTTATTTGGTGCGAAGTATATGCAGAACTGAAGTCACATACATGTACATATTCATGTTTTCATGTTCGTTATTCTCAAAATTTTACACAATCCATGGTGTTTGATTTATTTAGCCTTTATTAAACAGTTCTAATAGATGTAATAAGAACATAAAGTAGAACCTGTTTTTTAACTCTCCTCATGTCCCTGCGCTAAAAATAGCGACATGTAATACTATAAATACTAATAAAACAAACGGGGCGGGGTACTTTGAGAGGGACGAGAGACGTCCTAGGGAGTTTTGGTATAAAATTACATTGCATAAGCTCAAAATCTTCTTGAAATATCGCCCGGAAATGATAGTATGAATGTATAAATTTACGACCTTGAACTTTGACCTTTTGACCTCAAAATCAATTCTTCATTAGGCCACAGGGAGTTGTTATATAAAATTTCATTGCAATAGCTCAAATGGTTTGATATCGTGTGGAAACGAAAGTGTTTTAACAGACAGAATTTGCTTATTTATGACCTTGACCTTTGACCTTTTGACCTCAAAATCAATAGGGGTCTTCTTTAGTCCATAGGGAGTTGCTATGCTAAATTTCATTGCAAAAGCTCAAAGGGTTCTCGAGATATCGTGTGGAAACGAAAGCGTTACAGACAGACAGAAAGACGGACGGACGGACGGACAAACCCAAATTAATATCCCCCACTTTTCAAGCGGGGGACAATAATGGATTAACAATTAGTATGGAAAACGTCATTCAGCATTTGACTCAATGATAAATTTTATTTGCTGACAAGATCATCGTATAGACCAAATGATGACTTTAAACGAGACTGCTGATATTCTTGCTTCATCAACTTGTTTGTCAATAATTTACCTCGTTTTAGAGATTGTTCATACGTAATGCATGCTCTTGCGTATCGAATTAACTGAGATATATAAACGCTGTACGCAGGTGATGAATGTATATTGCTGGATAAGTAAGAGAAGTTGACGATAGAAAAGTTAAAGTCATCACGTTTATGATAGAGCTTGGTTGTTAGATTACCATTAACGTCTTTTTCAAGTAAAATATCCAAGTATGAAACAGATGCGTCAAACTCTGTGGTATCTTTTATCTCAAGCTCACCAGGATATATCGTATCGACAAAGGAATGGAAATTACCATTGCTAATTGACAATACGTCATGGATATATCTAAATGTTGAGTTGAACTCCACAGCAAGTGTTTTTTTCTTTTCACGCGTAAGATATTGCACAAATTCTGCTTCACATGAATACAAAAATAGATCTGCTAATAACGGAGCGCAATTGGTACCCATGGGAATTCCAATAGATTGTTGGAAGACCTGGTCTCCAAAAACCACATAGATATTGTCATTCAGAAACTCAAGCATCTTTTTTATGTCAACTTCAGAGTACTTGCGTGTGCAATCAGAATGTGTTTTAACAAAATAATTTTGCAGATGACCAATGACCAAGTAAGTAAATTTACGAGTTCCATTTTTATTGAAAAAACAGCTGTTCAATGATATCAAAAAGCCTGGACTTTAATTTATTGTGGGGAATGGTTGTGTATAAAGGTGAAAAGTCGTCATTTTATGATAAAGCTTTATGATACCAGTTAAAAAAAAAGTTTTCAGACAAACAGATGGACGACACGTCACAACAGACGTTATATGATAAGGAAACTAGAAAAACTCAAATGAGTGTTTTGAAAGGGTTACAATATGGTTAATTTGAAAAGCTGTTTTGATGAAACAAGAATATCAACAGTTTCGTTTAAACTCATTATTTTGGAATTTTCATGGTTGATAGAGTCTTGTCAGCAAACACAACTTATCTTTTTGTAATATGCCGGTGGATGTTTTCCACACTGAATTGTCGAATTGTCCGTCTGTTACGCTTTTTTCTTGCCGCAACTTTTTTACTGAGTGAAATTTAATGAAACTTTCATGAATCTTTATTACAATTGTGCACCTCCTATTTTACTTTTTTATTGGTATTTTAGGTGTTCCCGGCAAAACATGGACGTATTGCCATTTTTTGTTTATCTATGACGTCACATAATAGAAGCTTCTGGATAACATTTGATAGGACGAATTATTCCTCTTTACACATTACCGTAAAACAATATATAGCAACAAATCGACATTATGGGAGGCGGGGGGTATCATTTAGTGAGCTCATTGCTCACAGTACCTCTATTTCTATTGTTTGAATGAAGGTTTCATCTTGAATAAAGTACCGTTCGTTATCTCTATATTTCATTCACAAAAATTCAATTTCCAAGATCCATGGGAAAATCCATGGTTACTTTTTATGTACCTTTAAAACGTATCTGAGATTGACCGTAAGATTGCGATAAAAAATTTCTTTAAACAAAACAACATTTAATATTCTCCTACCGGTGAAACCGGAATGGGGCAAAGGTTTCCTCTGCGTCTGTCCGTCCGTCTCTCTATCTAGATGTCTGTCTATCAGTATGTCCCACTTGGTTTTCCACAATTTTTTCTAAACGCTTTCAGATATTGAACTGATATTTGGTATATGTGAATGTATCTTGATGTGTTACAAATCAAGTTTGAATTTCGTTCCGCTTCAAACTTTTAAGGGAAATACAGCCTTTTTATTTTCTTATGGGAAACAGATTAGACTTACAAGTAGGGGACTTTGCTTGATACAATTAAAATATTATAAGCCTTAGGATAAACGTGAAGGAATACGTTTTGATGATATAAAAAAGTTTTTTTTGTAAAAACGCCACAGAAAGTGAACTCAAAACTAAATTAATGGATGGCGTGATACAATAATTAACAGTGGTTATTTGACTTGCATTGGTTCTGAAGATAAATCCATCCTTACTACAAGACAGGATAAAAACTTGGTGAATATGATAAATATTCTAGGCGTCTTCAACATGTTAATTGATAATTCATGCAATTCGTACTCATGTCAATCACTTATGACAATAATGTATTCTATGATATTATTATACCCCCGCTTGAAAAGTGAAAAGGTATATAGTGATCGATGTCCGTCCGTCTAGCTGTACAGTGTACGCCCGTTCGATACGCTTTGGGGAATCCATCTCTTATCCGCAACTCCTCTTTTACCGCTGAATAAAATTTAATGAAACTTTCACAGAATCATTGTTACGAAGTGCCATTGTGTACCTCCTATTTTTCTTTTGATGGGACACATTTTTGGGTTTCCCAGATAAAAACATGGACTTTGCCATTTTTTCTATAATATTGAGGGGTATATCAATCTCTTGTCCGCAACTCCTCCTATACCACTGAATGAAATTTAATGATACTTTCAAAAATTCTTTATTACATAATACCATTGCGCACCTCTTATTTCACTTTTTGATCTGACACAGTGACTTATTTCGAGTCTCCTAGAGCAAAACTTGGACTTTATAACCATATGGGAGGCAGGGTGGGTGGACGTGTGTGTATGTGGGAAAGAGGGTTGGTGTATTTGTGCGTATTTGTAAAAATAGTTTTAAGAAATCGAATATTAAAGGAAATTAGAAGTGCTGTGAGTAATGAGTTCATTAAACGCTCCCCAACTCCCTTTTGGTGCCATATGTAATCATTAAATAAGACAAACTCTATGCATTTGCTTTGGGAACGTTTACCCAGAAGTGTAAAGTTCATTCAAATTTTAGCATTTCAAAAGTGTGCATGTGAATGCATATGTTATAAATCATTGTCTAAACAATTTATATATTTTAATATACTAAATATTAAAGTATTTAAACCAAAAGTATTAAAAAATACGCTCATTTAAGTGTATTTTTATTTTCAAAAATTTCAAAGTGCATGCATGTGCATACAAAGCATGGTGACCATTTTCTTGTAGAAGTCCATTATATTTATAGCAATTCATATCTTGCAGTTGAAAACCAACGGATTTATATCTATTTAAAGTTTAAGCCAATCAGATTGCAGCGCACGTGCATGCACGTGTTTTCATAATAATTCTTATATATCATGTTGTAGAACCTTCTACATGTAATATATGACTATGTATTTAAATTTTCAAAGTATTTTGTCAAAAAACAAGAAAGATATTAGTTTCAGCCAGTCAGAGCGAATCGCACGTG